GTTTTAGAATATGGGCCAATACTTAAGAACCCCTCGGCCAATTAGTACCAAATTTGTCAAGGGGTATCCTTGGCCCAATGGCTACCATTTATACTAGAATAAGGTTTGGGATCCTTAAACAAGGGGAGATAACCAGGAAAACAAAACCAAAAGTACTGGTTGCTAAAAAATCTTCTTCTCCATAACCACCAGGTGGATTTTCACCAAACTTACATACAAGGATCAGGATATGTGGAAGATTAAAATTTGCACAGGGAATTACCATGGGGCAAAGGGTGTGGTCTCAAGGTCACTTCAAAGTTGAACTAAATTTACAATTAATAAAAACGTTGATATTTTGCTTACATTAAGGACTAGGATCATCAAATCGTGTAAGTTGATGCATCTTACGACTTCACATCATATTAACTCAAAAGTAGGTCACGGTGACCTACTTTTTAAATTTTGTGGGGATTTGTTTTCAAATTGATTTACTTTGTCAGTTGATGCATCTTGGGTACTCGAACAATGTCAACTTAAAAGTCACCGTGACCTACTTTTTGAACATTATGACTAATCCTTTTAAAAACATTAAATCCCATTATTTCAGACACTGAGAGGTTTAGAATCATCAAATCTTGTACTTTGATGCATTTTCGGACCATAAAACATATTTATTAAAAAGTAGGGCACTGTGACCTACTTTTTGAATTGTCAAAATTGTTTAAAACACATATTTTTATCACCTTTAGACCTACGATCATAAAACTTAGTTAGTAGATGCATCTTGGGTCTTTGAAAAATGTCGACTAAAATGTAGGTCACGATGACCTACTTTCGACATTTTATGGCTTTATTTAAGTATCTCCGGTACTTATTGGCTTAGAATCATCAAACTTTGTGAGTTGATGCATCTTGGGTTTTCGGAGAGTGACGACCAAAAAGTAGGTCATGGTGACCTACTTTTGACATTTTGTGGCTATATATTAGCATCTATGGTACTTATGGACCTAAAATCATCAAACTTTGTCAGTTGAGGCATCTTGGGTTTTCGGAGATTGTCAACCAAAAAGTAGGTTACAGTGACCTACTTTTGAATATCTCAGGTATGTATTAGCTTAGAATCATCAAACTTTGTCAGTTTAGGCACCTTGGGTTTATGGAAAATGTTGACTAAAAAGTAGGTCACTGTGACCTACTTTTGACATTTTATGGCTATATTTAATTATATCTGGTACTTTTTGGCTCGGAGTCATCAAACTTTGTCAGTTGAGTCATCTTAGGGTTTCATTGAATCTCCAACAAGAAGTAGGTCACAGTGACCTACTTTGGAATATCTCTCAGGTACTTATTGGCTTAGAATCATAAAATTTTGTCAGTTTAGGCATCTTGGGTTTTTGGATAACGTCGACCAAGAAGTAGGTCACCGTGACCTACTTTTGACATTTGATGGCTATATTTTTTTATTTCTGGTACTAATTGGCTTAGAATCGTCAAACTTTGTTAGATGATGCATCTTGGGTTTTCAGAGAATGTTGACCAAAAGTAGGTCATGATGACCTAATTTTGAATATCTCAGTTACTTATTTAATTAGAATCATCAGTCTTTGTCAATTAATGTATCTTGAGTCCGCAGAAAATTTCAATTAAAAGGTAGGTCACTGTGACCTACTTATGGTATTTTATAATTATATTATAATGTCTTCAGTCTTAACTGGCTAAATATTATCAAACTTCGTAAGTTGATGCATTTTGGGTCTTATGATACTAATAGAGTTGGAGAATTCTAATAGAAGTGATAGATTGTACAATTTATCAGAAGAGCGATTCAAGGCTCTTGGGCCTCTTGTTTTCTCTGTGATATCTCTTTGAAAGTTGTCGGAGTTTATTTCTTGATAATTCTGGCGAAATGTAAATTTGGCAGGTCGATAGGTCAGGAGCTAAGGAGGCCTTATACGTATGCAAATCTCGTGCGCATCTGTCTCTGTGTCTGACGCTAAGGAGGGCAAATATGCATGTAAATCTCGTGCGGCTGCATTTGTGTTTGACGTCAGTGGGCAAGGACTATTGAAATTGGCATGGAAGTCCTCGTGTGAATTGTCTATGTCTACATTTTTAAAGTCTAAATCTACAATCTTATTTCACAATGAAATGGAAATATAAGAATTCATTGTCTAGTTTTGAGAGTATGCCAGGGACATCAACAATAGTGGGAAACATGGGATAATTTTAGCGTAATGGGATTTGCCCTTTATGCAAATTATCCCATGTTTCCCACTATTTTTGATGCCCTGGCATACTCTCAAAACTAGACAGTGATTTCTTTAATAAAGATAAATTAAACCCGATTTTTTTTTTCATAAGTAGAAGCCTAAGTCATAATATATCTTTTAAAAATTAAAGTCATATATGGCGTATTTGAGCTAAAAAAAAATATAAATACGAGATCAAGTGTAGATTTACATATTTGCTATATTTACGTTCAAATTAAATTTTTTGCCGATTTTGAACTTAAATTTTCCCACGTTTCTATAGTTAAATCGGCTTTAAACTGTGTCTTGTATTTAATTCCGAGTCTGAAATACACTGTAAATCAGTTATTGTTTTAAATCGCGGATATCTAAGAAATCGATTGATTTAAATTGTGCATTTTACAGGCAATTTCTATCTTTATATTCAGCATCAAAACAAATAGAAAGATCTTTTTAATTTTTGTTAGTCTGAACTTATCAAAAATATGCCATATATGACTTTAAGAAATTAATTGAATATAATCCATAGAAATTTTCATATTAAATAATATGCATATTTAAAGAATAAAGGAAAATCAGTATTTTTTAAAGATTTTCTTAGGAAGTTAAGTAAGGAAGGCTAAAATATTGTCCATAAACACGTATAAGTACTTTGTTGTGAAAAAAATGCTCAGGTTTGTTCTTTATGAGATGTAAGCCATAAATATAATTTTTCGAAGGTGATTTCACGCGATATAAACGTAGGATTATTTTTTTTTTTGACCTTACAAAAATTTTTTTATTAACTTTTGAACTTTGATATCTTTTAAAAGAAAGAGACTTTGGGGATCTTATTTGACAAAAGTTGAAACAATTTATGGAGAATTATTAATTCAAGAAGAAAAACAATATAATTTTTTTTCGATTAGAATCGGACTAAGCAGCTTTAAGGTCAAGATCTAGTAAATAACTTTAGACTAATTTTTTTGTGCTAAATCCATTATGACGTCATAATCAATTTCAACTTTCTTTTTCCCGTACTTTACGGCTTTAGCAGAACTATATAGAAAAAAGGGTATTTTCATGACATTCAATTTGAAATCATATGAAAAGTAAACCGGATACCTATATTAGATTTGATATTGATTTAAAGAAGAGGCCATGAACATACTAATTTCCGTTTTCCGAGAGACTGTAGGCAATCTGGATACATTTCCTCTGTCGAATATGAAAAAAACTCCCATATTCATGACTGGTTTTCTTAATTTTTCATTGAAAATGACAGTTTAAAATACAGTTTTTAATCTTGTTTACCTACATATTATGCCCCGAAACACCTTATTTGGCCAAGCTAAAGTTGTAAAGCATCAATAAAGAAATTTATTTCACAAATTTGATAAATCTGTAGGCACCTTTCATTTACTAGATCTTGACCTTAAGGTTTGTAAGATGACGCGTAGTAACTTTTTTTTTCATGAGTAAAAGAATTATAACTTTTTTACTGCTACAGAAATAGTATTATCTTTATATGTAGACTTCAGACGGAGGAATTCTTTTTCTATGCACCCGTAAACGAAGTTTCCGGGGTATATAGTTTTTGTCGTGTCTGTCTGTCTAGCTGTCTCTCTGTCTGTCTCTGTCTCTCTGTTTGTCCACAAAAACTTAAACCTTGCCCATAACTTTTGATTAAGTGTAGTTATGACTTTCATATTTCATATGTGTATTCCTTGTGACAAGACCTTTCTTTGGGTACCACCAAGTTTGACTTTTTGAGCTTGACCTTGGAGTTTGTCCCACTTTTACAGGAAATTTTTAAACTTTTACTTTGGACATATGTTTTGAACAGTAGACACCAGGACATTTATACATGTACTTCACATATGTATTCTTTGTTGAAAGATCTTTCATTTGATACCAACAACCTTGACCCTTTGACTTTGACCTTGTAAATTTTCGTATTTGTGAAAAAACTTTAACCTTGGCCATAACTTTTGAATGGTAAGGGATAGGGCTTTCATACTTCATATATGTAATTCTTGTGAGAAGTCCTTTCATTTATTACCAAGAACTTTGACCCCTTGACCTTTGAGTTTGACCTAATTTAAAAGTAAACCTTGACCATAACTTTTAAAGAGTTAGGGCTAGTGCTTTCATACTTTACATATCCAATCCTTGTGAAAATACCTTCCATTTGATAACAAGAATTTTGACCCTTTGACCTTGACCTTGGAGTTTGACCTACATTAAAAAAAAATTAGCCTTGGCCATAACTTCTGAACGGTTAGGGCTAGGGCTTCCATACTCTAGTATCTTATATGGCAAGACTTTTCATTGGATACCAATTACCTTGACCTTTTGACCTTGACCTTGGAGATTTTTGTACTTATTGGAAAATATTTAACATTGACCTACTTTCAAATTCCTTAATTGTTTTCCTGTGAGAATACCCTACTTTTGGTACCAATTAATTAAATTTGCATTGAAGAAAAGTTTAATCTTTGCTATGTTGCCATACGGGGGCATCAGTGTTTCACAAACACATCTTGTTTTTGTATGCAAAAAATGTTTATTAACATACCTTGTTCTTAGCCCATGAGGTATATTATATGACCAAAGCAACAAAAAAAAATCAGATAATATTCTTGAAATGATGTCAGAAGATAAATGTAATTAAGATATAAAAATATCAGAGTAAGTTGAGTAACATATTTTTGAGATATCTACAAAATGGATTAAAACAAAATTTCAAATTCTACTTCATGTGTGTGTTCTGATGTCCATTCTGAGAACATGACTGTTTTTGTTTTAGATCCAAACAGTGATGATATAAATAAAGTGGATGAGTTGAAGAAGTTTCTGAGGAAGGAGAAAACGACTGTTTCCCATGCCAGAGGAATACTTGTTGGATGTGCTGAGGCTGGAAAAACAACGCTACTGAAGAGATTAAGAGGGCAACATCAAAATGTCGGTGAAGTTACAGAGTCCACCAGGGGACTGGAAGTCCATCAACATCTGTTTATTGTTAGAGATAAAGTTTTAGAAGGTAAAGATAATTTCTGATACAAATTCATAGTACAAATGACAAACAAGTCATTTTTTAATCAGAAGAAGCCAACCTGAGTTTTTAGCTCACCTAAGTTAAAGCTAAAGTGAGCTTTTCTGATCATCCATTGTCCCCCGTTCGTCCATCTGTCCATACGTAAACTTTTCACATTTTCAATTTTGAATCAAGATTCATTAGGCAATTTTTAAAAAACCTAGTTTAAAACATCCTTGGATGAAGGATATGGAGATAACAAACAGTATTCAATATTAAAATCCATAAAACAATACAAAATAGGAGTAGAGCAAACTTGGACTTCCGAAACATCAGAGGTTGGATCAGGTGCCATGGAGGATTTCCATACTTCGAATTTAGAAACAATAAATTATGAACAGAATCAACGAATTTAACTTTCATTTACCAGAATTGAATTAATTTTTAAACATAGAAAATATCATGAAACTCAAATTTCATGCAAACAAGACACACATATACATATATACTCTTACCTCACATGAGATGTAAAAATCAAAAGTAAAATGCGGCAAGAGTATGGTTTTTTTGTGTTTCCCTGTATATTAGGCTTTATAATCTTTATACTCTGTGTTACTGTAAATAATTTACTCAATGACTGAAATAAATGGGAAGGTTTTATGAAAATTTAACAATTTTTCAAAATCCTGCTCATTAAGTCATTCTCCCATTTAAGACTATGAATTCAAAATAATATGATAAAAATGCAATTACTAAATCTGTAATTTAAGCAAAAAAACTTGATGTTAGATTTAAGGGGGCTGACTATAGTTTTATTGTGTGAAAACTACAATAGCAAAACTCTTCATTTTTATAACATATATAACTTACATGAACTGCAGTGTACATGCAAAGTTTGGGGGAAATCTACCGTCCAGGTATTTTAGAGGGACCGTCTCAAAATACAGGTGCATTTACTATAGGATTGGATAGGACAATTCCAATTTTTAGCACTTTAAAGCAAATTATACAAATACTACAATAGACATTTTGTTCAAACTATAATATTTGATGAGTAATACTATATTATACAATATATGTAAGAAACACAAAATTCTACCGTCTTGTTACCAGAGGGGGGCATCTCAAAATGCAAAAAATTAGCAAATTTTACTATTTTTATGGAGTATTACAAAATCTGATGTACACAATGGATTCACATGAAAACATAATAAAAATATTAGAAATATTCTCAAATTTCTATGTTTTAAATTTCAAGAGCGTATGTTTATTACTATTTCTTTAATATTATTTTTATTACCCCTTTCTTTAAGAGCTGCAGATTATCATAACGTCAAAAACACACTGCAAAGACGTCAACCTACCTATCAATTGCAAAATCAGTTAAAAAATCAGTTATATCAAATTGTAATTACATTTTTATGCCCCCCTCCGAAGAAGTGAGGGCTAGGGATGTGCGATTTTATCGGTATATCGCGATTTTTTGTTGCATGATACGTATCGTGATACGGAGACCTAAATATCGGTTTTTAAGTACATATTATAAAGTCCAATAATTATTCATTTATTTGTTCAATCTTTCAAATTACAATTGCAGAAAGTATAAAAATGATGTAAAAAGTGAAAAGAACGGTATCTTTCCGTCCAAACATAATTAATTTTATATACATAAAAATTTCAAGAACGTAAAATTTAGTTTTTCTAGCATATTTTTTAGAAAAATAATGACTTTTCATATAAAACCATTGTAAAAACTGCTTTTAAAAATATCATGATATTATCATGATATTGTGGGAAAAAATCGTGATATATCGTGATACAAATTTTTTGGCGATACCCATCCTTAGGGAGGGCATATTGCTTTGCTGCTGTCTGTCGGTCGGTCTGTCCGTCTGTCGGTCTGTCGGTCCACTTAGTTTCCGTTCATTTTCTTCGCAACCATTGCACATACTGAAATGAAATTTGATATACAGGTATATCACATGAATATCAAGGTCAAGTTCTGTTTTGGGTACAGTCGCACCATTTTTGACAGAGTAATGCCCCTTGGACTTAGAAAAATTTCAATTATTTGCAGTTTCCGCTAGTGTTGTCACGATGATCGATTTATAATCGATGATCGGTCGGAAAGGCTGTCGATTTTAGACAATCGATTGGAGATTTGAACAATCGATTAATCGGTATATTTCAGCACATGTCTTTTTTACTTAAACTTTGTTTAAAGTAAATCAAAAGATAATGATATTTGTATTTCTAAAGTCAAGAAACTAAAGTACATCTGTACTTGTATAAATGAAATATATTAGTTTTCAGTATTTGGGGGAATTCACTAATTGTCATTTCATTCGGAATCATGAGGATTTGCAATATTAAATGTCTTATATTATATAACAGTTAAAAAATTAATTCCATATACATTTTAGATGATCATGTAATTTAAAGCCTGATCTGTCAATGCTTACTTTCCCCAGGCCAAGTAACTCCTAATCATGCAAAAATCTGTATTGCTGAAATTGTTTATCAAACTGCATATATACTGTTTTTAGAATTTCGATCTGTACAATGCATCTTAACTTACATTATTTAACAATAAAATTCTAAGTTATATAAAATCTAATGCCTATTTATGCAAAGGGTAACCGATTCGATTATTGTCCGATGATCAGTTGGTTAGGGTCAACCGATGCTACCGATTAATCGATTTTGATTTTCAACCGATTTGACAACACTAGTTTCCGCTCATTTTCTCTGCAACTGTTGCACATACTGAATTCAAATTTGGTATAGAAATATATCACATTAATATCTAGGTCAAGTTCTGTTTTGGGTACAATCGCACCATTTTTGACAGAGTTATGCCCCTTTGACATAGAAAAATTTCAATTATTTGCAGTTTCCACTCATTTTCTTTGCAAATTTTGCACATACTGATATCAAATTTGGTATAGAGATATATCACTTAAATATCTAGGTCAAGTTCTGTTTTGAGTATGATCGCACCATTTTTGACAGTTATGCCCCTTGGACTTAGAAAAATTTCAATAATTTGCAGTTTCCATTCATTTTCTTTGCAACTTTTGCACATACTGAAATAAAATTTGGTATACAGATGTATCACATTAATATCTAGGTCAAGTTTTGTTTTGGGTACAATTGCACCATTTTTGACAGAGTTATGCCTCTTGGAGTTTGAAAAAATTCCAATTATTTGCAGTTTCCATTCATTTTCTTTGCACCCATTGCACATACTGAGATGAAATTGCATATACAGATTTATCAGATGAATATCTAAGTCAAGTTCTGTTTTGGGTACAATCGTGCCTTTTTTGACAGAGTTATGCCCCTTGGACTTACAAAAAAATTCCAATTTGGGGGAGGGGGGTATAAGTGTTTTACAAACATCTCTTGTTATATCTAGAATTTCTTAATTTTGTTTAATTTTAATAATTAAGTAAAAAAAGTTGCATTAAAACAGTAAATACGCTTCCTTTTACTATGATGCGCGAAATATTGCGCAATGGAAACAATAGTCGGCCCCCTTAAAAGATTAAACTTACTGCACTCTTCACAAAACACGTTATCGCCATACATTCGTATTCGAATGGTAATTAGGTAAAATAAAGGAAAATGAGTACATACACTCTGTAATAAATAACAAACCTGATCAAACAAACCTGAGATCCAAATACCAAAAACTCTTAAGTTGATTGTAAAGAAATTGAATTCAAATTACAAATCTCCAAAAACACCTAGCCCGGGAAAACACCAGGACTGGAATGAACTTACAAAACCATGTAACCAATGCGAAATCAAAACCAGTCACCCGTGTCAAAAGGTATATAAAAGTAGCTAATATGAATAACTTAAACCTGGCATAATTTGCATTTATTTTAATAAGTATATTTTTATGATCATTTATTAAAGGTAAATTAATTCAAACATACACATAACAGGGCCTGCCCCCCCCCCCACCACTTTTTTTGTCAACAATACTTTTACTATAGAAAATGTTCATTGAAAGGTTGGTTGCCCCACCCCCCCCCCCACTTTATACTAAAGTAAAGTAATATGAAGGAAATATAGTATTGTAAGGTTAAAAAATAGAAATTGAAAGGAATTGGTAGTGAAAAAAGTTTGCCTCCTCCAACCCCCCCCCCCCCCCCCCCCCCACCAAATAGGATTTTCTAATTTGGGCAATTTGGTTTTGCTTGTCAACTTTTTCAGGTAAGTAAAAAAAAAATTTCAGTGGCTGCCTCCCCCCCCCTCCCCACTTTCAAAATTGATGCTACGTGCCTGCATAATAATATTTGACATACAATTTAAAATAAGCATTTTCTGACTAAATACATATTAATATCACATCATGACCCCGCGGGATATGGAAGGGTCACAACTGGGGATTAATTTTTTACAAAGAAATATGAAGATGATTTAAAAAATGTTAAATAAAGACAGACTTTATAAAAAAATAATTAAAATCTTTTTCTCAAGAACAGGAAAGTTTTATGCTATAGTGATATGGAGGCATCCTTGAGTAGTATAAAGCAAAACCCGTTGTATTTGCACCCCTATTATAAAAGTTGTCATATATGTCACATTTTGTAAACGGATCTTATTTGTGTTATTTACAAACCCAGGCTTAAAATTGATAAAAATCTTGCGTAAAGTGGCATTGATGCCCTTAATCTTTTTAGCCTAACATATTTACTAGTCCTTGTTATGCTGGCGGGCATATAGGGCAGGCACTAAACTTATCCACTTCTCTCTATCTTAAACATTTTTCTCCAGTTCTCCACAAGTTAGCTTCTGGTCCTTCATTTCTATTTCAACAGTCCTTCAATCGCCAGGTTGTCTTTGGCTTACCAGTTTTCCTCTTCCCTTCTGGTATCCATTTAATTAAGGGCTACTTTGGTGATGTTGTTGGATGGTTTCCTCAACACATGCCCTAGCCCTCGCCATCTTCGTTTAGTCAACTATCAGGTGACTTATGGCTACAATGTATCTGTTTTTCGTTGGTCTTCGTACGTTGTTTGTCGTCCATCGATCATAAATTTTAATCATTTTTAGCATTTCCTCTGGTCAACCACTGAACCTATTTCAACCAAATTTAGCATAACGTATTTATAGATGAAAGGAAATAAAAATAAAAAATAAAAAATCTTCTCTTCTGCTCCTGGGTATTAAGCTGATGAACTAAGTACATAGTAATAAGAGGGAAGAGTGCTTTTTCTAAACTTATGAGTTTCATGGTCCCCTTGGTCAGGGGTTCCGGGGGGTAGTATGCCCCTCTTTGAAGAATGGAGGGTACTGTTTAGCGCGTTTTCTTGGCGGGTGTAAAATTTGGCGTTTTGACTTCTCAAAGGTATGCCAGTAATTTTGGCGTAATTTATTTTAGCGGACACAGGTTTTCATCTCTTTTGCAAATGAACACTAAGAAGAGTACTGAATATTTTAGTGATTAAAATTTAAGCAGACTGTCATCAAAACGCCAAAATAAGCCGAATTATCACCCTGCTAAACTAACATGGTATATTGCTTTGCTGTTGTCCGTCTCTGGGTTGTCTGTCTGTCAGTCAACTATCAGTGTTTGTTCATTTTTTGCACACATTGAAATGAAATTTTGTATACAAATTGATGTGTTATAAAACCTGCCAAAAGGACGTATGCTCGTTTCCTATCACCTGACATGATTAAAACTGCATATGATTAAAGGACAATATAATTGTAATCGCGTTTATAGTATGAAACAAATCCAAGAAAACTACGCAGTTCCGTGACACTTTGTGGAGCTTGCCACTCTCGCACGGCCTTTGTCTTACTGGGATCAGTCATAATTCCTTGTTCCGAAACAACATGTCCTAGGAAATTTACTTCTTTTCTGAAGAAGAAACACTTGCTTGCTTTCAGTTTTAAATTTGCACTTTCTAAGCGATCAAACACACGGCTTAGGTTTCTCAAATGTTCCTCAAAATCACGACTACATACAATTATATCGTCCAGATATAGCACTGCAATATGCCACTGTAATCCAAACAATGCTTGTTCTATCACTCTCTGGAAAGTAGCAGGAGCATTACACAATCCAAAAGGCATTACTTTGTATTGAAATAATCCACCGCGAGGGGTTCCGAATGCCGTTTTCTCTTTATCACTTTCCCTCATTGGAATTTGGTGGTAAGCCATGTTAAGATCCAGCAAGGTAAACCATCTCGATCCAGCTAATGAGTCGAGATCATCGGCAATTCTCGGGATAGGGTATGCATCCTTAATTGTCTGTGCATTCAGTCGCCTATAATCTACACATAATCTCCATGATTTATCTTTCTTTTGTACCAAAACAAGTGGAGATGACCAGGGGCTATTTGATTTCTAGATCAATCCTTGTTTCAGCAACTTTTCAATTTCAGAATCTAATATATCTCGCTTGAATATAGGAACTCTTCTCACTCGATCTTGAAATGGTCTGTTGTCACTTATGTTGATACGATGTTCTCCTATTCTTGTGCGCTCCGTGGGCATTTTAGGATCAGCAAACACAAATTGACGTCCTAGTAAAAACTTTTTGAATTCCATTGCTTGTTCTTTTGACAGGTTTTCACATCCTTGTTGAAACACATCACATAGGAAATTCGGAAGTTCATCGGACACACTTCCGGTTTGCACATTACACACATCATTCGATGGAAATGAATCACAAACACAACTCACTGGTGGTAATAGTGCAATTTCCGTATTTGTCTTCACACAAATTTCACTGTTCCCAGGATTAAATACATGCACATACACAACGCCATTTCCCACGTTCACCAATGTATGCGCCACAGTCAGTCCATGACTATGCACAAATTGTTTAATCAGCACTAATATTCCTTCTTTGATGTTGGTCCTAGAATTCACTTTTGACTTTAACACAGCTTCATGCCTCGGTGGAATAACGCTATTTTCCACAGACACTACCAGGCAGCTTTGTTCGATTTCCTCACTAGAGCTGGCAGTTCTCAAGCTCAAACTTTGGCTATTATCATCATAATTCCACTGCCCTTGAAGTTTTGTCATAAATCCTGTCCAAGCAAATTACACTGTACGCCTCCCACGAAAACGCGTAAATAGACATTCATATCTCCGAAAGTTAGAATCATTTTTGCAGTTCCAATGGTTTTTAACCCCTTCCATCAGCAGTTTTGAATTTCTTACGCACTAGCTCCAATATTTCCCATTTTTCCCATGGACAATCACTAGATCATCAGTCATTTTACTCTGCACATCCGCTTTAACTCCGAAATCTGTGTGCGTTACAACATCTGTTTGAGTTTCAGAACATGAAACATGACGCTGTAAGTTTTCTGTACTAGGCCTATTTTGTGCGGTGACCGACGCATGGCCTACTACTGCCTCGGTCGATTCAAGTTTAACTGCTGACTTCCATCTCCGGAATATTTGACACTTCCTGTTCTGGGTTTACTGACATCATGGTTGCCATTGTTTTCCGATAGCTTATTCTTTGGACAATTTCTCATTAGATGCTGAGACGAGTTACACTTTTTACATCTTTTCACCGTATGGTCGACATTTTTAGTTGACGTTCTGTTATCAAAGTACTGTTTGTCTGTAACTGTGTACACCTAAGGTTGGTATTCTTTCTTCACGTGGGGCTTTTTATTTTCGGTAAAGCGTATGCACTCTTCTTGCATAGCAGCTGTAACAGCTTCATCTAAAGTTCTTGGGCGTGTTCTCTTAACTGCAAGGCGGAAGTCGTCATTATCGCTACAGTTATCCAGGAATGTTTTCATTGAGTTTTCCATTACATACTCTCTGTTCTCAGGATAAGCACGACGGTACAAGTCCTGAATGGCCTGTCCGAAATCCTCGAATGTTTCTTTGTCCAGTTTACTGCGCAGCTTAGCTTCGGCTCTCCTTAAGCGCTGTATGCCCAAATCTCTGATTTAGTGCCTCTTTCAATAACTTGTACTGTCCCAAAGTATTTTCTGGAAGTCCATACGCAAACGCTTTAGCTTGATCCCTTAAAATTGTTAAAAGAATGCGTCTCATGCGCTGCTCTGGCCACTGATTCAAACTTGACACATTTTCAAAGTATCGAATGAACTCGCTCCAAATAGTGGATCCATCTCCCTTAAATACTCGTTTCACAGGAATATGAATATCCGGTGATTGGCTAGAGACTGCAGGTGTGACATGTGAAAAATCTGCGTTTTCTCTGTTTGTTCTCAGTCGAGTTCGACTTCCTCGCACAGTACTAGATACAGGCTGTCCGGATTCCTCTATGTTGCGTTCTCGGTTAACACATAGTTTCCAAATTACATTTCCTATCACAATGCATCCCAGAATAGATCCTTTTATGAAAATGAATTCTCGAGTAATCCAACACAAAAATTCGCCAGGGAAAAATTTGTAAATCACAGCTATCACTGAAACACACAGTAAACTCACATACATCCAGAATTTTAACAAATTTCCCCAATGCATCCCTTAGGATGTTCGACTTTGGGTGTCAATTGTACCTTCGTTCCCAGAGTACGTAAATCAAAGTCGGGTGTACGACAAATTGGAGTTTCTGCTTCCTCAAATTCCGTCAACAAATTTCTTCGCACTGAACTTCGCAGGGCCCTAGGAGTCTTCGCACTTCGTATAGTTTCCATATGTAATTTGTTGCTTGAATAGCAATGTCAACATCACTGCAATGTGCGCCACCAAAACACCACTCACAAATAAATCCAGCTTGACAAAATAATTACATTATTCACATCACATTTAATAAAGTTACACGTGAATCTTGATGCAACAAGCACATGCCGGACATCGGTAGAAATAGCTCACAATACTTTTATTTTCGATTATCAAACGATGCCGATTTTCTGTTTTTATGAACATATTGTAACAATTCGAACACTCTTTCCTCAAATAGAATGGTTCAATCCTGATGAGCACTTTATTCCCCGAATCATCATAATCATAAATGTACGCCAGTCTCTGGTTCAAAACATTTCTAGGTAAATCCATAGTTCACAAATTCACTGAATTATCACATAAATAAATCACACCGGAATTGTTAAATCACACCGGAATTGTTAGATCCCACCTGCTGCCACCAGTTGTAACGTCCAAGTGATTATCAGATAATTAATCCATTTCTTATTGCAGGTAGCAATAATATGTAAGATATAAGTAAACGCTCAATGCGTAATTCAGGTATTTAATCGCCCCCGGCCATTTACTCTCTCCTTGGAAATCAAAAGTCAGTATTGGTTTACATTTTATTTACACATAATCATAGTTAAGAATCATCCAAAATCAACACAAAAAACACTGTATAATTAATCCTGAAACAATATTTGAGCGAAGTGTATCCCAGCACAACTATATCAAAACTGCATCTCCGTATCAAGTAAGTACCCGTATATATACTAAATGACCATCACTCCTACGGGGTGATGGGGTATAAACAAAGGACCGTCACTCCTAATGAGTGACCGGGTGTAAACAAACTATTCTAAAAATAGAACGAGTGACCGGGGGTTATATAAATACTGCAAAATATTAAATAAACAAATAAAATAATAAATTTAGAAAAAGACTGACCTAAAAATACGTGACATAATCTATAATGTGAATGATCACAAGCGATTCTGCATGATTGGTTTGTCAACAATAGCGTTGCAGCTACTGTATACAGTTACTATATAACAAGTTTTAAAATGAATTTATTTACTGAATAACAAATCTCCTATTACAGTGGCTGATGATGACTCACCATTGAAGAAATTTATTAGGATAAACGCTGCAGATTTAAAACCAGACCCAAGCAGTGCAGTTGACAGCTCCAATACAAATGAACATGGGGACAACCTGGAAATGAAAAATACTGATAAAGACACTGAAGTTATTCATAGCACAGAGGAAAAGAAAGAAGAGAAAGTAGAGTTTTCTAGCCCACCAACTAAACGCAGAAAAGAAGAGAACTCAGTAGATGTAATGGCCAGTGCTCTCTCCTCAGAAGCTACAGCTATGGTGAAGGATAAAATTTTTCAGAAAATCTTGTCTGATAAAGAAAAATTCCCAACTGTTAGCATGCTGGATTTTGCTGGCCAGTTAGCGTATTATGCCTGTCACCAAATTTACGTAACACCAAAGGCTTTCTTCATCCTTGTGTTGGACATGACTAAGAGGTTTGAAGATGTTGTCGATAAAGAGAAAGATAAAGATAATCAAGAAGGATCAATCTTCTCTGTGTGGACATACAAAGGTAAAACACTTGTCTAGGCAACTACTTATAATTTTGTTCGCAGACAATAAACAGCCCGTTACCGCTTTGTTTAATAGATTGAAATATTAAAAAAAACATGTTTAGCTTTACTATTCAGAGTTCAAAAGAGCTTATGCGATAGTTAGGTGTCTGTTGTCCATCTGCCTGTCTGTAAACAATTTTTAAAAACTCTGCTCCTCCTACAGCTTTGGTCTGATTTCAATATAAATTATATAACTTGGCAAACAAGTAGACTACACTCATAGACATACAGTCATTTATTGCTGACTGTTGAAAAGTTTCAAATTCAAGTGCTACTTTTCCTTTGTTATATGTACATACTAGTAGAGCTACAGTCTCATCAGAGACTTCTGGTTGATTTTGTTAAATGTTGCCATGGTTACTCAAATCAAAATTTCTGTAAAATTATTTTATAAGGCTCCTGCTCCTACAGTTTTAGTCTGATTGCAATAAATTTTTCCACAACAAGAGACAAAACTAAGAATTATTATTCTATTTATTACTGTTGCAAAGTTGCAAATCCAAGTGCTACTTTTATCTTACTTTAAAGTACAACCGGTATCTCCACAGCCTCCTTTTTGTTAAAATAATTCTACAAGAAAAAAAACCCTTGATTGAAATGTATTCACATAATGAGACGCACACAAAAATATATCTTGGAAAAAAGAAGAATGTTATGAATATAGTAGGAAGATGTATATTTTTATGCCTCCCTTCGAAGAAGGGAAGGCATACCCGGTATTGCTTTGCAGCTGTCTGTCGGTCCATTTAGTTTCCGTTCATTTTCTTCACAACCGTTGCACATACTGAAATGAAATTTGGTATACAGATATATCTTAAATTTCTATGTCACGTTCTGTTTTGGGTACGATTGCACCATTTTTGACAGAGGTATGCCCCTTGGACTTATCAAAAAACAAATTATTTGCAGTTTCCGTTCATTTTCTTTGAAGAGGTTGCATACATTGAAGTGGAATTTAGTATACAGATTAGTCAGATGAGTATCTAGTTCAAGTTTTGTTTGGGTACGATCGCACCATTCTTGAGTTATGCCCTGTTAGACTCCAACTTGTGGAGGAGGGGGGCATAAGTGTTTTACAAACATCTTGTTTGGTTCATTTTCAAAAATAGCTAATGTTATAATTGTCTTTCAGTTTAAGGCTAATGGGGTTCAATAATAAGATGGGGTTATTTGGTGGGAGATAATGATGATTCCATTGGGTACAGTAAAACCCGGTTATAGCAAAGTCCTGGGGACCTGTGAATTTAATTCGCTATATCTGTAATTTGTTATATCCGTATAACCATTTTAGTGAATTCGCAATATGCATGTTTTCCTTCAAGTATTACTACCAAATATGTTAGGAAAGCAAATATTTAAAACATATCTTTGATAACTAAGGTCATATTATGTATTGGATTTTATATATAAATGCTAAACAGAAATAGAGTCTGTTAAATTTATCAATTTTTTTTGATAATCTTTAAGAGTTCATTATAAAGGATGTGAATTTCATTATATTTAACCTCAACGGGACTCAAAATCAGTTCGTTATATCCGTAAATTCGTTATATCAGAGTTCGTTATAACCGTAAAATTTTACAAGGATTTGTTAAGAAATCTGCCGGGTACCCAGAAAAACTTCGTTATATCCGTAAATTCGCTATATCCGTGTTCGTACTAAACGAGTTTTACTGTAGTCAGTTGTAGTGGATATCAGTTCATTTCTGTGGATGTGACTCATACATTGTCTGTTGGTAGTCAGGAATGATAAATCTGTTGCCAATCAGATTGACTTCTTTCCTTATGCTGCTTGCCTTCACAAGTACACCACACCATAATCCAATGTGACCCATAAATTGTTGGTCAGTATAGTCAGGAATTATGAATCTGTTTTCAGAGGGTATTGCTATTGAAATGGTCTTCTTTGCATATGCTGCTTGCCTGAACAAGTACATCACTTCGTTATACATTTCTTTTTTCTACAAATCAGATGTTACACTGAAGGAAGAAGATGTGTGAAATTGTCTTCAAAAATTATTTACTGCACGTCCTACAGTTCATATTTTATTTTTGAATAACTTTTAATTTGCATTCAAAATATGAAGTTTCATAATTCTGCTTGGTTATTGTAAACCCAAAAACAAAATCATAGATTGAAGTTCTTTTATTTTTAGATGTTTTAAATACAAAACAGTAAAGCTATACACTTTCCAGAGACACTGACTTGTTTGTTTTTTATCATGATGCTTTGTTGTTCTTTTAGACTACCTGAAGTTTTGGATAACCTCAATCAAGACATTTGGAGGCAAAAAGGCACCACTGTTTCTTGTTGTCACACACACAGAAACAAAATCTACAGATGTTAGTATTCTGTCTAATAGAAATGTGAAAAAAGAAGAATAACTGATATTAACATATCTGTTAAATGCACAATAACAGTGTATACTTAGAACTACAAAAGAACTTCATTTCATTTACAGTAAATCGTATCACACAATTATGTATTACATCCAATGTGGTATTGATAATCTATAATGGAACGTTTATTCTGTTAAAACTAAATCATAAAATACACACATGATTTTCAGATTTTCAAACATCAACACACAATTTAGCATTTACAGTGATAAAATCATAGCTCACAACTAGAAACGATTTTGTTGCGAGCAACGAGAGGTCTTCCGTCCGACAGTTTTCGAGCTGAAAAGTGATAAAAAAAATTGCCACAAAGAGGATTGAATCCAGGTCGCAAGCGTGAAAATCCAACGCGCTTTTTTCTCTTTTATTCCCAACGCGCTTAAATTACGCTACTGGGTCAATTGCTCAGAATGTTTTTGTATATACTTCTTCAACAATACACCTGTCTAAGAACTTTGAAAGGCGCGCCAATATCCATAATGTCGCGCCAAACGCCAAGAAATTTCGCGCCTTTTCTTTGGAATGTTCCATTAAATAGGTGTGACAGCGTTCTTATAGCCTAAATTTTGAAGAAAATTTAACACATTGTAATATTCCGTAGTAATCCTTTATCAGTTTTAACTATTCTAAATTTCCCGGTGAACTATCCCGAGTTACAACAAAAGGTAGAAATGCTAAAACCTCCAATGGCTGGCCCTAGCATATACCATTTATGTTCAACTTTAAATATCTTTCAGAAAAAATTACAAACAAAACGATTAAATGCAATTTGACCAAATGTGCATAAAACAATAGTTAAGCTTTATACTTCAGATATACATCGATTTGTCTTGAAAAACTATTTCTTATAACTATGATATACGATCTGTTTTTCCGTCGTGCAAAACAAAAATTTCGTATTTCATTTGCACTTTTAGTCCTTTCTTTTTTATTTTGAGTAGACCTTGGATTAAATTTAAGTCGTCACTTTACAATCAAAGTATACCTTTATATTTCATTTATCCTTATGTTACTTTCGTTCATTTTGTCGGAAACTTCCATAAACCCCTATTGCGAAATGTCGGAGTTTGGACTCTTCAGATTTTCACACATGCTAATATCTAAAATATTTATAGTGAAAGCTTTTTATTCTTTAAAAATAAATGAAAAATGTTGAAAAACAAAAAAGGTGTAAATAAGGTTTTTGATAGTAAATAACTGACGCTCACGCCACAACATATCTTCTACCGTTCTTGAGATTAACCGTGACAAAATGTATTTTATAATCAGAAAATGTCCCGTAAGCTAATTTTCAAAAAATCTCTCGGAAAAAATAATCAGAAAAATACAATTTCTGTATTTTCAGATTTTCATCAACACACAATTTAGCATTTACAGTAATAAAATCATAGCTAACAATTATGAATTAATATCTCTATGCTTGCTTTGTTTACTTCTTCAGGAAATAGACAAGTATTTGGGGGAGTTTTGGAATGCCGTACCAGACGAGGACAGAGATTGGTTAAGTGAGTCTCTGAATGATAGAGAATATGCAGTAGGTCTAAAGGAACTTAATGATAATACCAAGGAAAAACTAGAGTCAATTAAAAAGTCCATAGTGGAACTATTCACAGATGAGAACAATACAAAAGTTGAATTGCCTTCTTCATGGGCTCTAATGGAGCAGTTATTGTATGAAGGAGGCTGGAAGGTTTTGTCCCTGAGTGAAATCTGGAAGCTCAACGCATCTCTTCCTGATGAATACCAAATCAAAAGTGACAAGGAAATGTCCGAATTTTTAAAATGTTTCCATGACAATGGTCTTCTTTTGAATTTTGGAGAAGCAGACTTGAGGGAACATGTTATACTAGATATTCAGTGGTTTGCTAATGCTTTCAGCAAGATAATTGCTGATGAAAATCACATCAATAAAGATTGTAAAAGGAAATTAATTAAAGAGTGGAAATCCTTCAACAAAACGGGGGAACTTAAAGATAAAGTGATAAATGCACTGTGGAAAGATGAACCCTCTTACTTGAAACATAAAAGTGAAATTATGCCATACATGGAGAAACTTCAAATGCTGGTACCTTTGAATGCATATGAGGCTGTATCAGAAGGTGGCATGTCATGGTATGTCCCGTGTATGAACAAAAAGCAGTTTAAAGCTGACTTCCGTGAAGATAAATGGGAATGCTCATCCATTTTGTGCTTCCGATTCGCTTCCTTTGCCATGTTTATGTTCTACAGACTGGTAGCATACTGCATAAGTTCTCTAAGATGGAGTGTTGCAAAAGATGAAGATAATGAAGGAAGTCCATGTCTTTATCAAACGGCAGCAGTGTTTGATCACAATGAACACACGGTCGTTGTTGGCATATGCAATGACGATATCCAGTTGCAGGTGCTGAGAATCAAACCGTTGACTATAGACAAAGAAATATCAAATGAAATTGGAGACTCCATTGATAAAGCAATAGAAAAATTGACGGAAACATTCATTGGCACAAAGATATTTGAAAGAGGATACAAATGTCAAAACATTATTTGTAATGAGAAAGATCTATCTTTTACCGTTTCAAGTGAGCTGTCCAAAATCAAGGCTAATGGAATTCAGTGCAAGTGTCAACTTCGAGAGAAACATGTGATAAATGTACAGATGACGCAGGGATTCTGGGAAAAGGTAAAAGTTATTAATCTTTATACTCCCTGTAAAACAAATATCAAAAATCTATTTTTAGGACTTACATTGTCTGCCTGTCTGTTGGCATATATGTATATTTAAGTCCAGCCAATAACTTTGTTGGAAAAAAACACTGGCACATATATTTTTTACCAGCTGAGGAATTGTACTGATTTTGACCATATAAAAGATCAATGAATGAAAAAAATATTAAAGAGAGAGACATTTGAAGTTAATACTTTAAACAGAAAACTTAATCAAGAATGTCTTGATCTCAATGGAAGTCCATTTGGTCAAGTTCAAGATCACTTTCAGAAATAAATTTTTGTAAATAAAATAAACGTTATCATATCTTGTAAAATGGATCATTATTTGACTCAAAGATTTCTTACAAACCAATAATGTGCCATGATTTAAATTTATTAAAGGTAATATGATGTTTACCTGAAAAAATAATCGGAAACTTAAAATGAAATGAAGAAATGTAGTAATGTATACCTGTATACTTCAAACTAATATTGCTTATAATCTCTAAACGTGTTGTGACCTTTTTCAAAGCACCAAGTGAAGTTTCTTTCAGACCAGTACGGAGTAGATGAAACGTTTTGCAAGAATGAAATAAATTTTCAATCTTTTACCAAAATTGCGCAATTAACTATCTATCACCTCGTTGTTCAAGTACCAGGGTTTTACAGACTCAGATGAGTACAACATGTTCTACTCTATATAAATCTTTCATTTCGTCTTACTCCTAATTTTCGAAATTGATGTTATATCACCAACTCAATGATATCAAATGGTAAATTTAAATTGTTTTTATCCTAATTTTCCTTTCTTGACCTACAACAGGGCCCTTTTTTTAATCACCTTGGAAAACAAACTGTACTATTAGGGTTTAGCTTTGCTTACCTATGGGGAAATCTTAGAAATTTTAATCTTGGTTTATAATGTTTTTTCCTTTGGCTTTAGATGAACTAAGATTGAATTTGCTTAGAAAAGTTGGCTATTTCCAGCACTTAGTTTCGAGGTTAAGATTGGTGTATTATAATAGCTATGGTTTATTTTGTTTCAGAGAGAGGAGTGATTCCAGTACTCCTGTGGCCTTTGGACAAAACCTAGAAGGCCGGTCTAGATTTGCAAAACTTGGTATGGCTACAAATGATGTGTTGAATAAGGCATACAGAGATATTCTAGAATCAGAAATTCCTGCATCTGATGTTGAGAACAAGATGGATTTATTATCAAACAAAAAGTTGAAGAGTCTAAATCTAAACGCAAATCAAGAAGATCAATTGAAAAAAGCAAAAATATCAAGATATGAGGAATTTGATATTTCATTAACATACAAGTTGATTAGAAACATTTGTTCAAAAATTCCTAAACCAACAAAAGTAAAATGGGGAGAAGAGCCTGCAGCAAGAGAGGTGAGAGTGGGTGATGATATCGAGAGAATTAGGTCAATACGAAATAGTTTGACTGCACATGTGAGTTCAGCCTCCACCTCTCAGACAGAATTCCATGATACCTGGTCGACAATGTCAGATATCTGCCAAAGACTGGAAACCTTCACTGGTAAAAAGTACTTGGATAGTCTCAAAGGCATTCAGAAACTGTCTCTAAAAGAGGAAGGGGAAGATGCAATAAAAGCTATCATAGAAAAGTTTGTCAAGGATCAACACGAACAACATGAACTGTTGAAGACAGTCGTGTCAGATGTTCAAGAATTAAAGTCTCAAATGATGACATTAAAACGAAATTGAAGACTGGAAGCAACCGCTAGAAAAAATATTTTGTTTTACTCATAGAACGTTTGCAGGACTAGTTAATAATAAATTCTGTAACACTTGGTTGAAGATGTCGGATATCTGCAATTCAATCGGAAGTTTCATTGGTGGAAAGCCTTTGTATAAGCTTTATTATAATCATACACTGGATATGAGGAATTTGATATTTCATTTACATACAAGTTGTTAAGAAACATTTGTTCAAAGATTCCCTTAGTCAAGAAAAAGAATTTGGGAAAAAAGCCTGCACAGGAGAGGTGACAGTGGGTGTTAGATATATAGAGAATTAGGTCAATATGAAATAAATTGACTGCACACGTGAGCTCAGCCCAAACCCCTCAGACAGAATTCGACGACACTTGGACGATAATGTCTGCCAAAGATTGGAAACCTTCACTGGGAAAAAGCTTGGATAACCTTAATAGCTTATATAAACTGACTATAAAAGATGAAGATGGTATTTCATCGATCATAGAAAACTTTAACAGGAAACAACATGATATTTTTTTATGAAAGTCATGTCAAATATGCAAAACTTAGTGTCAGATATGCAAGAAGTTAAGGTACATGTGAAAAATGTAAAGCTAAATTGATTTTGACAGGCGGCGCTGCGCAAATTAAACTTTTTATGCGTCAAGCATATGTAGAGTGACTTCAACTTTAAACAATTGAAAACCAGCCTTTGTCAATTGTGAAGAAATATGTATATCATCATTTCTTTTATGAAAAAAAAAAATAAGAATCAGCAAAGATTGGGGGCGAGCATTAGGTGTAGTTTGTTTGTTTTTTTTTCTTCAAAAATGCACCCATATAATTATTTGATTCATAACCCTCCTATCATTGTTAATATATGTTTTGTATTCCCTTTGGATAAGTTTTCTGTTTATAGAGTTTCTCATTTATAGACAGCCTTCAGAATCCCTCGATAACGTATATTTTTTGGGAGTAAACAGGATTTGATTCCCTTCTGACTTTAAATGACGAGAGGGATGGCTCCTATTTATAAAATTGTTGTTTAAATTTATTCTGGATCTGGAAGTGCTACGGAATTACAATAAACAGGGAACATGGTGCTCAAATCATTGAACATATGTGAAAAGCTTAAACATTTTATGTGCTTTTATCCAGCTATTACTAGATATTAAAGAAATGAAATGGAAGCTATGCAAAATTCAGAAAATATGGAAGAAGGCTTACCAAAATAAAGAACAGATCTATTTAACAGTTTTAACGAAACATGAGCTCGGCGTCCAACTCTCAGACAAATTTCAATAACAGTGAACCTTGTGTATATGAATTCTGTTCAGTCATTATCTTTATGGAATATCACCCGTAGTCAAGCAATGTTACCGTTGCTACGTTGGAGATAATGGCTTCATCATTAATCGGATAATAGTGCTTTTAACAAATGTATAGCATTTGATTAAAATCAAATTTTAATTTAATCAAAATCAATCAATTTACGTGAAAGTAAAATGTTATAGAATTGTTAAAATTCAAGAAGGTTTAAAGACAATCAAATCAAATGTTAAAAAAATAAAAACAATAATCAATCGTAATGAAGGAGCTACAGATTAGGAGCTTGTAGGTTATTGTGTAGAATATTAAAGAATTGCATGTTTTACTTAATCTTATAAGAATGGAGAGTGCTGGAGAGTTCATTTTATGTGAATGTGTATGCTATACTGTGTGTACCTATTTTAGAGTGAATGTGTATCCTATACTGCTTGTACCTGATTTTACTTAGATCTCTTTTGAATGTGTGTCCGTTAAAGTTTTTATTTTATTTTTGAGTGTATGTGTATCCTACACTTTTTGTATGACCTATTTTAGAGTGAATGTGTATCCTATTTCTGGACTTGTTTTTTTCTTTCTAAAGGTATTTTTCAGAGTTTGAATGTGTAAAAGGTATAAGATCTGCTGGTACCTATTTTAGAGTGAATGTGTATCTTTCTTTTTATACTAATTGTAAACCTTTTTAGAGTTGTGTATGCTATACTGCTTGGACCTATTTTAATGTAGTGGATTTGACTCCTATACTGCTTGTACCTAAACCTTTTGAGTTTTTTGTAAAAAGAATCCTATACTGCTTGTACCTATTTTATTAAATGTGTATCCTATACTGAACAACAGTACCTATTTTAAGAAAATTGTATATCCTATACTGCTTTGTTCTATTCCTTAGAGTGAATGTGTATCCTATACTGTTTTTATGTACATCTATAATTTTTTAGTCATGTGTATTAAGCCTATACTTCATGTGTACCTATTTTAATAGTGAATGTGTATCCTATACTGTTGACCTATTTTAAAATAATGTGTATCCTATACTGCTTGTCCTATTTCACTATTTTTCAAAATATAGTGTATCCAAACTTTTTTACCGTAAACTTTCTTTAGAACATTGTAAACTACTTAGATGAATGTGTATATCAAATTTGCTTGTGTCTATTTTAAGTGAATGTAGTATCCTAGATATTATTTGTTACCTATTTTAGAGTGATTGCATGTTGTTATAATTTTTGTTGGCAAGGACGTACCTATTTTAGAAAAGTGATGTATATAATTTTTTATCATTGAAATCCACTTGCTTATTTTTATAAAACAGTGAATGTTCCTAAATGCTTGTACATATTTCAGTGAAAATTTCTTTGGGACTTTTACCTATTTTAGAGTTGTGTATCCTAATGCTTGAATTTTAGAGTGAATGTGTATCACTCTATACTGATTCTTTACCTATTTATAATGAGTGAATGTGTTTCCTATACTGCTTGTACCTATTTTAGAGTGAATGTGTATCCTATACTGCTTGTACCTATTTTAGAGTGAATGTGAATCCTATACTGCTTGTACCTATTTTAGAGTGAATGTGAATCCTATACTGCTTGTACCTATTTTAGAGTGAATGTGTATGCTATACTGCTTGTACCTATTTTAGAGTAGCTGCAAAAGTTCAAATTTTTATGGAAGTGTCGGACAAGAAGGGAATATGTTCATTCACGATTGCATATTTTTAAAACACAGATTTGCGATCGACTTTTGTTGCTTGTGTTGATATGTTCATTTCATTTTTCTTTTGTATTGTAAACTTAATATACAGTGAGATCAAAATATTACAAAATGTTACTTGTTTGTTTGAATATACACGTATTTTATATTCTTATTAGTATACATATTTGTGATCCTACTTTGTTGCATGTTATATGTTTATTTTACTTATGTATTTTGTACTTTTTATCCAACATGCTCCAATTAAGTGACAGAATGTTTTACAAATATACACGCATATAATTACATGTCTGTTTGGCCCTCTACTGAGAGCCTTGGGGCTTAAAATGCTGACATGCTCACTTTAACGACGGCGAATAAGGACAGGGTCACTTTGTTGATCCATCTGTATGTGAATCAACAATCAAATCAATATACTGAATATTTTTCTATTTTTTTTGTGACTAACGGGAATAACAATGCCAGTATACTGTAGCTGTCCATACATATCCACCAAGTATTCTTAAATCACAGGTTATTATTTATTTATTAATTATAAACTAGACAAATTTTGACATATTTAGTAATTGCATTTATTTATGTATGTCTATAAATGTATATGTAGGCATATTGAGCAGTGAAATATTTTTCGTTCTAGCTTATATAACACATACATTCGGTTTAAATACATTTCATCTAAAGGACTGATCTCATCTGTATGACCTGTCTTTAAAGGGGCATAGACACAGTTTTAAATTAGCTAAAAAATATTTAACTATGTCTTTCTAATGATCATAAAAAATTTGAACTTCATTTGTTGAGATACAAGACAGATTTATAGCTCCAAACCTTGGTTATGTCAACAGAGTTCGTGTCATGTTTTGTTTACATAGTATACTAATATATGTATGTTTAAGGGTCCTCCACACCATGTGTCTTGTGACGTATATAGAGAAAAATTAAAAATTTTAGTATAGAATTTGTTCATGAACCTCATTTGGCCTAGCACCCCAAAGAACACATGGCATGATCACGGTGACCACACACACACACAATTTATTTAAATAAAAGGACAACAGACAAATGTTACATAATTTGCTAAACAACAGGTACCGATGGATATGACGAGAAACGTTTAGGTTATTTATACTTTCAGGCTAATCAACCGAGTCTGTTTTGATGGATGAAATTTCGGCACACTAATTTGTGGGTTTCAATAATACAATATCTCATTGTGTGTTTATAAATATTGATAAAATAGTGTGCGTTTCTAGTTTTCACTTTCTATTTGTCCAGTTCAGTATGTAAATAATTACTCAAATATACATATATGGTGATGTTTTACTATATTAGGAAAGATTTTTTTTTTGGTCACTAACAGGAAAATAACTCCAAAACCATAATGAACTTTGATACCAAAGATTTCCATTTTTTATTTTTTCTAGATTAGTGCATTTTACAATTTTTGTGCGTATGTAAACGTAGGATTCATTGAATTTTTACTTTAAAAAGGAGTCCTTTTGATTTTTCATATTCAGTAAAATGCATTATGTAAAGCAAATTTTTATATATAAAATAAATTTTTGTAAAAAATGTTGCTCAAAAAATTATTTTTATGATTATTCTGTGAACAGAAATCTTTAAAGGGGCATAGACAAAATTTGTTGTGCTAAAATATTTAACGAAATTTTTCTTTCCAATGATCATAAAAATTTTTTTCAGAAACTTCAAATTTTTGTTTTTAAAAATCAAAGAATCATTGATCATTTCATGAAATTGAAACCTCTGACAGTTATTTAAACAGTTTGATTCAATTTTTGTTTATATAGATGTTTTTACGTGTTATATGGAACTGCGTGTGTGGAGAAATAAAGCATTTACATTTGGTAATTTTATCTCGGACAAAAAACATTAATTGTAAATACTATTATAAAGTTTCTAGTGATTTGCTGAATTTCATTTTGTTATCAATATATTTTCTACATGTAAACAAAAACAAGGCACGAACCTTGTTTACATTCTGTAGAACTTTAAGTTCTGTATCTCGTTTGTTAATCAATAAATGATGTTAAAATTTTTGCTGATCATTAGATGATGCATTATTTAGGAATTGCAAGCATTGAAATTGGTTTTAAAAACTCAGTTGAAACTGTGTCCATGTCCCTTTAAGTCCCACACTGGGATTCGAACCCTTTAAGTCCCACAGTGGGATTCGAACCCTTTAAGTCCCACAGTGGGATTCGAACCCTTTAAGTCCCACAGTGGGATTCGAACCCATGAGATAAGGATTAACTCCTTACTTCCCGAATCAAGAGGAGATGCTCTAACCGGACAGGCGGCTATATCAAAAGAATTTGAATAGATGTAATATGAATCGATTTGTTTATATTTCATGTAATGATGAAAAAATTGGGCTTCCATTTGTAGGTATTTTAAGTAGAAAACAGTTTTTAAGGTAGGATTCTTCTAACACAAAACTATTTCTTGTATTTAAAAATTTATGAACGAATGGGTGGACTTAACTGGCCAGAAAAATTGCCGTAGATTTAAGTTTCATAAAATATTTATTTTTTTCCATCATATAAGCCCCCAAAATCTCAACCGTGTATTCATGGTACAGATGGGAATATAAAACGTTCTTTTCTGGGTAAACTTAATACTAGTAAATATCGAAGGCATGGTGCCTGAAGATTTCTTGAATATCAATAGATAATCAGGGTCACGCATTTTTCATCGTCCGAATACATAGTCAGCGCATGTTTGTCGGCTGTTCTTAAGAAAACTGTAGTTGTATATTGGACAAAATAATGTTATATTAAAAGAAGTGCCGACAAATGTGCTCTCATACTTAATTTAACAAAAAAAAACATGTTGAAAACAAACTTCTCGCTTCCATTGTTGTTATGACTGCGATTTACCTGTTAAATATTACAAAATATTACGTGATGTCCACCTGCGAGTGTACTCGTGACATTGTATTCTTCTGCCTGACCTCGTTGTAAATCATATCTTTGAGCGTGTTTGGTTGCCGCTTTTAGAAGCAAATTACATTTTGTTTTAATTTTGTGTCACCAAACTTTTTAAATAATTTCATTTTGACATCGCTGTAAAATGCTTAACACGTATTCGAATTTTTGGAGAGAGAGAGAGAGAGAGAGAGAGAGAGAGAGAGAGAGAGAGAGAGAGAGAGAGAGAGAGAGAGAGTAGAGAGAGAATGACGCGGATCGATAGCCCTGCCTTCTATAAATATTGATTATGTGACCTAAAACCCACTCCCGGTACATCCCAAATTCCGGAAGACGACACTTATGTACCGTTGCTTCAATTTTGATACATGGCAGCAGGGCATTGATTTTGTATAAATAGCTCTTTCCATTGCTTGTAATATATTTTGGATTCACTTCATTTACAGCTTGGAGAAGGAGTCGCAAAAAGATCCAAAATAGGGTGTTAAGTCCACCCATTCTTCTTAGTTGTTGTAAAGAAAAAAATAAACTGTGTCAGTTGTTTTGGTAACAGGAAAACAGTTATATGTTTGTTTTCTTGGGGTTTCTTTTTTTTTTGAGGGGGAGGAGGGAGGATGGGGCATTTTTTAAAATCAAAGTCAGTTTCTTTGTGTCAACTTGAATTTCATGTTAAAGGATTTACATTATTATAAGATTTTTGTTTTAATTTCTTTTTCTCTTAAATTACAAAAATTACAAACATTGTAAATTAAATGCTTTTAAAGCACAAAAGGGAATGAATTTTGTGTTTAAATTTCATTCTTCATCAGTCTCTGTCTGTTTTGTTTGTTTTGAACATATTTTATTGTATAATTCATACAAAGGGAATGGTAACAAGTTCTTACAACTTAGAAAAATCTTTCTCATTGTAAAGTTTGCTCAATTTCTAGAATTGTTTTTGCAATAATTATGATAAAAACTTTGATTGTATGATGATGCAAAAATTATGTTGATTTAGATAACTCAGTTTGTTCAAGATATGTCACTTAAAAATAGAAAATAAAGTAGACTATAACTTGACAGATTATAATTCCAGTCATAAACATTTGTTGATCTATGAAAAGTAACCTCCACAAGGCAGCATTTGACAAAATGTTGTACATAAAATGTAAATAAACCTGAGATAAATCAAAATGTCTTGATCTTTTTCAGAGAAGGCTACATTTTAATACCCCCACTTTGAATAATAGGGGTCATCCAGGTTCAATCAAGGATGTACGAGGATATACCCTGGGTTTTATTCCATGCATCCTAAGGCCCTTGGCCTCAGACATTGCCGTTCAGTGGATAGACACCCCCTCTCAATGGTTACACACGCTCTCCCAGTAGTTGGACATGCCTACTCATTGGTTTGACACGCCTACTCAGGGGTAAGACACGCCCACTCAGTAGTTAGACAAGCCCACTTAGTAGTAAGACACACCATATAGCCACACCCAATTACTGGTTACACACGCCTGGTCGGTGGTTACACGAGCCCGATTAGTAGTTAAACACGCCCTTTCAATAGTAAGATACGTCCACTCAGTGGTTAGACACACCCACTCAATGGTTACAGAAGTCCTCTAACTGGTTAAACACATCTTCTCAATGGTTACATGCCCACTCAGTGGTTAGACACACCCTTTTAGTTACACATACAATCTGTGGTTAGACACACCCACTTTTAAATCATTAGTTACACACACAACTGTGGTTAAACACACTCACTCATTAGTTACACACACCTGTGGTTAACACACCCATTCAATGGTTAAACAGCCCACTCAGTGGTTAGACACACCCATGGTTACACACACTCTTGTGGTTTCACCGACACACCCACTCAGTGGTTACACATACCAACTGTGGTAAGACACACCCACTCAGTGGTTACACATACCAACTGTGGTAAGACACACCCACTCATTAGTTACACATACCAACTGTGGTTAAACACACCCATTCAGTGGTTACCGTTAGCCATGCCCATCAGTGGTGAGACATACCCACTCAGTGGTCACACACGCCAACTCAGTGGTTAAACACAACTTCTCACTGGTTAGACACACCAGTAAGTGGTCCGATATGCCAACAAAGTGGTTCGATATGCCAACAAAGTGGTTCGATATGCTCACTCAGTGGTTTCACACGCCCACTCAGTTGCTAGAGAGATGTATAGTGGGGTATTTTTTTTTTTTGAACGGTTATTTGGGGTTTTATAATTTTTTCATTACTTATGCAGCAATATACCTTCATCACCTGCATACGGAGTGTATATATCTCAGTTGATTCTATGCTGTATGTATGAACAATTTCTAAGACGAGGTAAATTATTATCAAGCAGTTTGATGAAACAAGAATATCAGCAGTCTCATTTAAAGTCTCATTTCGTAAGTTCCACGGTCGATACAATGACCTTGTCAGTAAATATAATTTATAATTGAGGTACATGTAAAACTGCTTGGTGTTAAAATTTTGAGGTTATCGTGTGCATGTTTTTAACCTAAAAATAATCCACATAAAGAGAAAATTTCAACTCATTTTTATGCGTGTCTTTCTCGCTTCATATTTAATATGTTGACTTTGGGAATTTAGCGCAGCACGAACCACATCTGAAACCATTATGAAAAAATAAAAATGTCATAATTCTGTCAAAAATCATTGAAACGACATTCAAAATCGATTTGTATCTCAAAATGCACTCACTTCACCTACCTAAAATCAGCTCTATACATGTATCTGCAACCAGGGTTTAAAAAATGTACGGAAAACCAAGTAAGACAGACGGACGTACAGACTCAGAGCAAGCCTATAGTCTCCTCCGGTTTCACCGGTAGGGGACTTATAAGTGTGTGTGTGTGTGGGGGGGGGGGGGGTAGATATTTTCCATTGCTATTAAGTTTTTTTAATTTAAAGCATCACCATATTTGAAATATTCTTGGATATAAGTGAATGTTCATTAAATCTTTTATTTTATTTTAAGTCTATTAAAAAATCAATCATATATCATTAACAAGGTTTCTGAGAGTACAGCGTATTGTATAAGCAATACACGCCCCCTACCGGATTCCCTTCTCTCTGTGAGATAGGCAGCAGCTCCTTTGGAATATTACATTAGTGTATCACGAACCCGATCATACCCAATTGTAATCCCAATAATTATTGTAAAAAATTAAAAATGCCATAATTCTGTCAAAAGTCAAATGAATGATGCAAGATGAAATTCAAACTTCACCTGTACACTCACCTACCTAAAATCAGCTCAACATCTGCAAGCGATTAGAAACAAAAGTGCCGAAAACCAACTGGGCCAAAGGGAAGGACAGAGGGACGTGTGATCAGAAAAGCTCATTTGAGCTTTCAGCTTTCAGCTCAGGTAATCTAAAAAGGTTATATTAGAAAAAAAAACACCCTTAAAATTTGTGGTTGGAAGAATAAGACAGAGTGACTACTATAGGGCACCCGCAAATCCTTGTACAGCTGGATTTATCTACCTATTCTCATAAAATGGACCAAGCTGAGCTATATTGCAAACAGCAAGCACAATCAGTTTTGATGTTAAATTTTATTTATTAACTGGATTTCCTGTTATAAAAAAATAAAACTTTTAATGTAAAAAAATTTAAAGTTGTTAAGCAAATTTAAAATATTTTTATAATTATACATATATCAATGAAAACATAAATAAACTTTCAATCAAGAACAATTTATACAATCATGACATGTACTTCATATAAACAAAAAATAAACCTTTTATACATGTTGAATTTGCAGTTCATAAAGCTATCAATAAAAATTATAGTTAATATTGCACTCTGTTTTATATGAACAATATCTCCCACATGATCATTTCTATGTATATATACAAAACAAAAAAAAAAAATTGAATGAACTTAAAATATGAAAATTTTTTGCACTACCTATATAAATTTTCAATACATAAAAAAATGTTAAACATTTAAAAAATTTCTACACTAAAATATTAAAACAGAATCATCAACACAAATAAATTATGGCTAATTAGCATGATAAGACAACTTCATGTAAAATCACATAATCTAAGGAATGTGAGGTTTTTTGCTTGATTTTACACAGCTTATAATTAACAGCAAACTTAATACGTAGTACTATTAATATTATTAATAAAACAATTTTTAAAAATCGTAACAATATATCACATGAAGGTAAAGTGTTTAATAAGCAGTTTGATAATAATTCATGTTTTTTTTTTTTAGCAAGATCAAATGTTGGGCATGGAATGATAGCGATCCAAGTTCTTTGTGGGTGGATCTTCAGCTATATTCTTTTAGGGTTATACTGATCCTAAGCGTTTTGTGAAGGGTTGACTGTGATTCAAGTTCTGTATTATAAGGTAGCTTCTGATATGTTCAGTTTGATAGAATGGACACAAGTTCTTTGTGGGTGGATATGTGTCCAAGTTCTTTGATGGTGGATATGGATGCAAGTTCTTTGGGATTGGATATGGATGCAAGTTCTTAGTGGGTGGATATGGATGTAAGTTCTTAGTGGATGGATATGGATCTAAGTTCTTTGTGGGTGGATATGGATCTAAGTTCTTTGTGTGGATATGTGGATATTGATGTAAGTTCTTTGTGGGTGGATATGGATATGGATCTAAGTTCTTTGTGGGTGGATATGGATCTAAGTTCTTTGTGGGTGGATATGGATCTAAGTTCTTTGTGGGTGGATATGGATCTAAGTTCTTTGTGGGTGGATATGGATCTAAGTTCTTTGTGGGTGGATATGGATCTAAGTTCTTTGTGGGTGGATATGGATCTAAGTTCTTTGTGGGTGGATATGTATCTAAGTTCTTTGGGGGTGGATTGTTATATGTTCAATTAGGTAAGATCATGCTAAAAGTTCATTTGTTTTTGAGGTAAGATTAGGGGGTGTTTAGGATTTATGTTAATTAAATGGATTGTCAGTGTTGTCAATGAACAAGTTTGAATTATCCCTTATGGATTTCATAACAAATCTGACAAATCAAAGCATACTGAAGATCAATATTAATACAGCATGTTGTATAGTCATGTATATCCATTTTTTTTTCAAAAAACTTGTATTAAATATACACAGTATATTTTTACAGAAATTAATTGCAAGTATATACCATATAATTATGATGAAAAAAAAACAGATTAAAATTTGCTTGACCAAATTAAAATTATTTGTCAAAAAACTTTCAATATCAAATTAACACTTGCGTAAATACCAACAGACATGGAACAGTTATTATCTAGTCACAATATAATCATTGTAAGCATAACCATCTCTAACACAGTGATTCCAAAGTGAACAAAAGCTGACGTTCAGCCAGTGGTAGAATCTATATAGCACCAAGTTCCTCATAACACCTTAAATAAGCATGCTACAAATGGAGTAATTATAAAAAGTCAGTATCTAGATTTGACAAATCCAGTTCATTTTTGTAATATAACAGTTATTTTTTTTTTAGTAAAGTGAGTCATTCCATTAATTAAATTCATAAGTACGCAATACTATTGCCTAGCATATAAATAATTTATGGCACCTCATGCATTTAGTAAAACGTAATTATTCAACGTAACATTCTATCAAACTTAACAAACTATTATATATTAATTAAATGTTATTGTTTTCATACATGACCTGAAGTGATTTAAATCACAAAAGGTTCTGTTTTGTAGAAGTCACCAAAAAAAAAAAAAAAAAAATAGATAACAAATTAGTTTCAGACACCTCATTGGAATGGTCTCCTTCACACACACCCTCTAACCCACTATAGTTTGTGTATGGGTGGGTGGAGGGTCATGTAAGATCTGAAGAGATGGGTGTATTATTCTACAGACGGTCAGGGTGTTGAGGGACATTTCATTCTATGGGGGTGATGTCACTCACAACCCTGTGAAGTTCCTGTATTGCTGGTACGTCTGTTTGTAAAACACCTGATAATTTTGATATAATCCCTTTTGCCTCCTTCAGAAATGTAGACTCTGTCATAAAAAAAACAATGGAAAAAAGAAACACAGAGATTAATTTAAAGTTCTTAATAAATGTAAAGTGTTCATGTGCTGTGGCTACAGATTGGTGGATGTAAAATGTGCTCTTGTGCTGTGACTACAGATTGGTGGATGTAAAGTGCTCCTGTGCTGTGACTACAGATTGGTGGATGTAAAGTGCTCTTGTGCTGTGACTACAGATTGGTGGATGTAAAGTGCTCTTGTGCTGTGACTACAGATTGGTGGATGTAAAGTGCTCTTGTGCTGTGACTACAGATTGGTGGATGTAAAGTGCTCTTGTGCTGTGACTACAGATTGGTGGATGTAAAGTGCTCTTGTGCTGTGACTACAGATTGGTGGATGTAAAGTGCCCTTATGCTTTATCTACAGATTGGTGGATGTAAAGTGCTCTTGTGCTGTGACTACAGATTGATGGGTGTAAAGTGCTCTTGTGTTGTGACTACAGATTATTCTTGTGCTGTGACTACAGATGGTGGATGCAAAGTGCTCTTGTGCTGTGACTACAGATTGGTGTGACTACAGATTGGTGGATGTAAAGTGTTCTTGTGCTGTCTTGTGCTGAGACTACAGATTGATGGATGTAAAGTATTCTTGTGCTGTGACTACAGATTGGTGGATGTAAAGTGCTCTTGTGCTGTGACTACAGATTGATGGATGTAAAGTGCTCTTGTGCTGTGACTACAGATTGATGGATGTAAATTGCTCTTGTGCTGTGACTACAGATTGTTCTTGTGCTGTGACTACAGATTGGTGGATGTAAAGTGCTCTTGTGCTGTGACTACAGATTGCTGGATGTAAAGTGCTCTTGTGCTGTGACTACAGATTGATAAGTGTAAAGTGCTCTTGTGTTGTGACTACAGATTGTTCTTGTGCTGTGACTTCAAATTGGTGGATGCAAAGTGCTCTTGTGCTGTTACTACTGTAACAGATTGTTCTTGTGCTGTGACTACAAATTGGTTCATGTAAAGAACTCTTGTGCTGTGACTACAGATTGGTGGATGAAAAGTGCTCTTGTGCTGTGACTACAGATTGATGGATGTAAAGTGCTCTTGTGCTGTGACTACAGATTGATGGATGTAAAGTGCTCTTGTGCTGTGACTACAGATTGGTGGATGTAAAGTGCTCTTGTGTTATGACTACAGATTGGTGGATGTAAAATGTGCTCTTGTGCTGTGACTACAGATTGCTGCATGTAAAGTGCTCTTGTGCTGTGACTACAGATTGTTCTTGTGCTGTGACTACAGATTGTTGGATGTAAAGTGCTCTTGTGCTGTGACTACAGATTGTTGGATGTAAAGTGCTCTTGTGCTGTGACTACAGATTGGATGTAAAGTGCTCTTGTGCTGTGACTACAGATTGGTAGATGTAAAGTGCTCTTGTGCTGTGACTACAGATTGCTCTTGTGCTGTGACTACAGATTTGTGGATGGTAAGACACACACCTGATAACTGTGGCAGGATATGCTGGTTTTGGAACACTGAAGTCAAACAGGTCAAGGCCACCTTAAGGACATCAAGGCTGTATTTACCAAACATACAGTTCATAACCTCAAGGACACTCTTCTGAACAAGGTCATGAAAGAGAGACCTAAAAAGGTTTGACACGGTTAACACGGAAACAGTTAAAATTAACCAACACTGTAATACATAGGACACAGTTACTTTAAAAAAAATTATAAATTGCATATAGAAGAGTTCCAGTTCCATGGTGTTTTACCATGGCATTTTTATTGTATTACTTTATAAAAAGAGTAATTTCCCCTTTAATTTAAAAATGTCAATTATTTGACTGACCTGTGTTTAAGCATCTCATATTTCTTTTGCCATCATTTATTGGACTAACCTGTATATGTTGGCATCATTTAAAATCCATTTTTGGACTAACCTGTATATGTTGGCATCAGTTATTGGACTAACCTGTATATGTTGCCATCATTTTTGGACTAACCTGTATATGTTGGCATCAGTTAGGAAATACTTGTACATGTATGTGATGGCATCAGTTTTTGGACTACTGTAAACCAACTATTATTCGCATCATTTTTCATTCTCAATTCGTCAGTTAAAAATCAATTTGCGATGATTAATTTCAGCGACTGAGGAAACATTCTCTACAAATGCTTAGCAAAATGAATGGTTCGCAGGGTTTAATACTCGGGAATTAAAGTAGATCGCAGTACTGGCGGATATTTCTCGCACGCGAATAAAAACTGGTTCACAATTACCTGTATATGTTGGCATCTACTTGCATCCGATGGCATCAGTAATTGGACTAACCTGAATCTGATGTTTTCATTTATTGGACTAACCTGTATCTAATTGCGTCTATAATGCTGATGAGAAAAGCTGTATCAAGGTCCATCAAGGTTTTACTGTCGCTGTACTGAGATTTGACATATGCCTGTAACCCTTGTGGTGCCCCACTGACCTCTAAAAGACTGTGCAGGGGTTTGTCAATGACAGCAAGAGCCTGAGCATCTTTACCTTCAAACACCAAAGAGCTGATGTGGTGAGTCACCTTAAAATTGAAAAAAAAGTGTTTAAAACAGATATTTGAAAAAAAAAATTGACTTTTTTAATGCCTTTTCCAAAAAAATATTTCATGTAATTCTGATGTGACCAAAACATTTGGCATTCATAATGATTCCACCTGCAAACTGTACAGTTTGTTTCATATTTACACTAAAATTCAAATAATGTAGATTTCTTATTATATAACAAATTAATTTCCTGGCCAATTTCATGCATCACTAGCGATTTAAAACTCAAATTTTATATATTTCAGAAAGTGCTGAAATCCATTTAAATTCTATTGTGAACCGTCCATGATTTGCAAATTTTTAATGTACCTTAAAGATGCTTCCATTTGATGATTTGCACTACAGTGGTGTAATAGTGCTTGCAAAAAATTTCAGAAATGTTCTTGTGCTATATAGTTGGATAATGCTATTGATAACTGTTTTGGCCCACCAATACCTGTAGCCTGATGACTTTGGTACAACACACACTCTGACATCTGTTTCAATATAAGTTTCATCTTCTGACCAGGGTCTCTCAAGAAGACTTTCTTCAAATTTTTCTCCGTATCTTTCATGGCCTGTATTCCATTGCACAAGAACAGTTCATTGATTTAAACAAAATAATCCACACCCAAAGATGCTTCCATGTGTTTTTACATGGGTCCTGTTTTGTATTATTTATAATAAGATTTGACTTTCCTTTATATTTTAAATGTCAATTATTTGACTGAACCTGTTTAATGTTCCCAGGTTTTGCCATCAGTTTTGGACTAACCTGTATATGTTGGCATCAGTTATTTACATTTTCCTGGCATCAGTTTTTGGAAAACCTGTATATGTTGGTATCATTTCTTATTGAAAACTTGTATCTGATGGCATTTAATTGGACTAACCTGTATCTGATGACATCAGTTATTGGACTTACCTGTATCTGATGGCATCAGCTTTGGACTAACCTGTATCTGATGACACCAGTTATTGGACTAACCTGTATATGTTGGTATCAGTTATTTGAAATACTTGTACATATGTTGGCATCATTTTTGGACTAACCTGTATATGTTGGTATCAGTAATTGGACTAACCTGTATCTGATGGCATCAGTTATTGGACTAACCTGTATATGATGGCATCAGTTATTGGACTAACCTGTATCTGATGTTATCATTTATTGGACTAACCTGTATCTAATGGCGTCTATAATGCTGATGAGGAATGCTGTATCAAGGTCCATCAAGGTTTTACTGTCACTGTACTGAGATTTGACATATTCATGTAACCCTTGTGGTGCCCCACTGACCTCTAAAAGACTGTGCAGGGGTTTGTCAATGACAGAGAGAGCCTGAGCATCTTTACCTTCAAACACCAAAGAGCTGATGTGGTGAGTCACCTTAAAATTGAAAAAAAAATGTTTAAAACAGATATTTGAAAAAAAAATTTGAAATTTTTAATGTCTTTTCAAAAAAAATAATGAAGTTCACTTATTTTCAGGTAATTCTGATAACCAAAACATTTAGGCATCATAAGAAATATGATTCCTGCAAACCTGTACAGTTTGTTTCATATTACACTAAAATTCAAATACTGTAGATTCCTTATTATATTCAACAAATTAATTTCCTCATAATTTCACAATAAGCATCACTAGCGAAATAAAATGACTCGCTTTTATATTCAGAGTGCTGAAATCCATTTAAATTCTATTGATCAACCGTCCATTTGCAAATTTTTATTCTCCCAATCTGACCTTAAAGAGCCCATTTGATGATTTGCAATAAAAAGTACTTGCAAAAAATAAGAAATCTACAGTAGTTACAATAATGCTAAAAATATCTATTTTTCCCACCAATACCTGTAGCCTGATGACTTTGGTACATAACGACACATCTGACAGCGAGTATCGTAACACTCCCGACTTCTGACCTGACTTCTCTCTCAAGCAGACTTCTTCACAAGTCTCTCCGTTCTCTTGTGTCCCGAGGCCATCAGTGCGAGGCCAATCCATTGGTACATAATCTTCCTCCTCTGTAGAATCCTGTGAGATCAGAGAATGAGTCTTATTTGTGTCTTGTGAGTTTAGAGACTGAGTGTTACTCATGTCCTGTGGGTTTGGATATTGAGCATTACTTATGTCCGTTGGGTTTGAAGACTGAGCCTTACTCTTGTCCTGTGAGTTTGAATTACTCATTTCCTGTGAGTTTGAAGATTGAGTGTTACTCTTGTCCAGAGAGTTTGTAGAATGAGCAATTGTTGTGTCTAATTTTTGTTGCCGAGATGGATCTAACACAGCACTATCCTCTTTCCTGTCATATTCTCTTAGCTTATTTGTCTGACATTCATTAAGAGTGGAACTCCCATCATTATTTCTATTTGTGTCTTCATTGTCTTTAGATAAAATTCCTTTAGATCGATTTTCCTCTGCTGGAATATCATTTGCATCAAACATCGGGTCAGGTTGAGAAATGGGCTCTGAGTTGCGTACATGACCTCTACAATTTACCGTAGGACAAAATATGGACACTGGGTTGCTAGGGGTGGGGTTGGTTGCTATGGTGATGTCTGTTTGACCACACTTGGCGACCACCTCCTGGATCTGGCCCTTCCCACTCACGTTAATTTTCATTTCCGACGTGTACCGTCTCTCTCGTGTTTCCTCCTTTTCCGATTCCTTCCGTCTCATTTGAACACCCTCCTGACTTGCGACAGATTTTAATCTCAGAGCTTCAGCAGCCTCCTCACTCAGAATAACAGTCTCCTGTACCTCTAACCTGGCCTTGACCTCTGTAGTCTGAAGGTCAAGGTCAGATTCGTCCTCTGAGCTGGTCATGGAGTCCAGTGGTTCTTTGTCGGCAAAGTGGACTTTGCGATCCAGGGCAGCCATGTAACCTTTCTCTTCCGTCTTTTTGAGAATTCCCGCGGGCTCCTCTTCCTGGTCGTTAGATACAAACATTTTGGGGGTGGTTAACGTCTCTGTGAGCTCCTGACTTTCCTCGTCTTGTGTTGACTTAGACAGAGATTGTAACTTTTTCTTTTGCCTTTTGAAAAAAAAAGTTAATATTAGATAAATATTTTCAAAGTTTGACCATTTTTGCCCTTTAGGAAAAAAAGTGAATATATATTAGATAAATATTTTCAAAGTTTGACCATTTTTGCTTTTTGATTAAAATAAAAGAGAGAAAAAAGTTAAAGTTAGAATAATGTTTTCAAAGTTTCATATGCTCTTCTTAAACTTTCCTCATAAAAAGAGAAATTTCTTTCAATTAATATATAACTGTCTGTTTGTAATTAGAACATATTTTATTGACAATTTTAATCAGGCCTACGTGAACTGTGTCATTTTAGAGTAGTTGTACAGGAATCGTCGACCCTCGGTCTTCACGTCCAGGTTGTTCGGGTATTCCTGTAGTACGGACTGGATCACAGGGACAGCGTGCTGGAAGATGTGTCTCAGTAACGCGTCGTATCTCTCTACAGCTTCCCCGACCTCCGGTGAAAATTCCACGTCTGTTGACCAAAAAAAGAAAAGATTAATATCCTAATACTATAATAGATGTGTCACAGTAACACATCGTATCTCGCTACAGCATCAAGATCCATCGCTAACAATGCCAAAACAATATGCTTGCTATGTATTGTCCCTACACAGTAAATAAAAATCTGCCCAATGAAAAAGATCCACAAAACAAGATTGCATTAAAATAATATCTGTCCTTTGGAGATTTTCCTATTTTGCTTAAAACCTTAAAAGATTGACTGTTTATCTGTATTAAAGATTCATTAACAGATTAAATTTATTGAGTTTAACCATGTAAGAAATTGATCTTGCCTTAAACAATCACTGCTTCTCTGTATTGTCCCTTTCAGTAAATAAAAATCTGACCATGATTTTCCTGTTTGCTTTCAAAGAGATTTGTTTTCCTATTTTGGAAATTAACCTGTCCAGTTAACCTTATTAGAGATTGACCTGTTTACCTGTATTAGAGATTGACCTGTTTACCTGTATAAGAGATTGACCTGTTTACCTGTATTAGAGATTGACCTGTTTACCTGTATTAGAGATTGACCTGTTTACCTGTTTTGGAGATTGACCTGTTTACCTGTTTTGGAGATTGACCTGTTTACCTGTATTAGAGATTGACCTGTTTACCTGTATTAGAGATTGACCTGTTTACCTGTTTTGGAGATTGACCTGTTTACCTGTATTAGAGATTGACCTGTTTACCTGTATTAGAGATTGACCTGTTTACCTGTATTAAAGATTGACCTGTTTACCTGGGAGATTGACCTGTTTACCTGTTTTGAAGAGATTGACCTGTTTACCTGTTTTGGATTGACCTGGTTTACCTGTATCTAGAGATTGACCTGACCTGTTTTAAAGATTGACCTGTTTACCTGTTTGAGATTGACCTGTTTACCTGTTCTCTAGAGATTGACCTGTTTACCTGTTTTAGAGATTGAGTTTACCTGGTCACAATAAAGGTCTTACCTGAGGAGAGGAAGTTGTCTGAGATTTTCTGAATTGACCAGGTGAGATTGACCAGCGTCCTACAGCCGGGGGGCACAATAAGGATGCTCTTCTGATGACGCTGAATAGATCGAAGGATCATCTCTAGGGCCGTCTCTCTCAGGGGAATCTACAAGGTCAAATAGAGGTCAAATACATAAGGAGAAGGAATCTCTAGGGCCGTCTCTCTCAGGGGATCTACAAGGTCAAATGAAGGCATACAGGTCAGATCATCTCTAGGGCCGTCTCTCTCAGCCGGGAATCTACAAGGTCAAATAAAGGGTAATAAATAGATCGAAGGATCATTTCTAGGGCCGTCTCTCTCAAGGGAATCTACAAGGTCAAATAAAGGGCAAATCATACATAAATAGATCGAAGGATCATCTCTAGGGCCGTCTCTCTCAAGGGAATCTACAAGGTCAAATAGAGGGCAAAGGGTAAACATAAGTCTACGACAAGGTCAAATAGAGGTCATATCATACAAATATATATCAAAGGATCGTCTCTAACACTAGAACCCCTGACCCTGATGCCATGAATTTCATAATTGTGGTAGAGGGCTTAATGCTGATTACAATCACACCAACAGTTTGACTGCTTGATGTCCAGGAGTAAACAAGAAGATTTTTAAAGATTGCATTAATTTTAGTGGTTTTTATCCTGACCCTCAGGTCCCAGGGCAGGCAAGGAACATGAAATTCACAAATTTTGCATGATGCATGATGACAGACAAAAACAGATAGCAATAGGTCATCTGAGTTTACTCAGTTGGCCTAAAAACATATTAATCCAAAGTGGTCTTTCTGAAGCACAAGTTATCAAGATAACCAAATATGTGGCTATTTTAAGAGAATTGTTGTGTTTCATTTTTAGCATAATTGGGGCAGTAGGAAGCTATTTTTGGAGAATTATTGAGTTACTTTTTCGCTGTGTTACGGGTAGTAGGTAGCAATTTTTCAAGATTTGTTGAGTTACTTTTTTGCCTTGTTTTGGGCAGTAGGTAGCTATTTTTTGAGAATTGTTGGGTTATTTTTTTGGCGTGTTTGGGTTGGTAGGTGGTTACTTTTAGAGATTACTGTATACAGGGAGATTTTAGCCCCCGTTTTTTTTTTTGCCCCTTTCTCCCTCTTCTTGATTGGGCGAATTTAGAATGGGGCGAATTCAAATTACAGCTAATAATTTCTTAAACAGAACCATGCCTGGGTGAATTCAAAAAGGGCAAAATTGTTCACAAGTTCAAAAGGGCGGAAATAACACGAAGCGAAAAATAACCCTGTATACAGTATTTGGGTTTCTTTTTTGGCGTGTTTGGGTCGGCAGGTAGCTATTTTTTTAGAGATTTGTTGAGTTACTTTTTCTGCCAGTCTGGGTCGGTAGCTGGCTATTCTGGCCAGTATGTCCAGCCCGTACTGTTGGATCTCCGTGACGTCCAGATAAACGGCCATACAACCCAACACTGCTGGCGCGGCCTGACAGTTCACCATGACAACCAGGTTATCAGAAAAATGGCTGAATGTCCGCAACAGTTGTAGGCTCAACACAACATGAGACAGGGGGTCCTGCATCAAAGAAATAATTAAAACAAATTTATTCATTATTCATTAATACAAACTTATGATGATAAACACATGTTGTTATCATGATGATGACCATTGTATGACTGAGTATAAGAGTGTTACCATGATTTGCTTGAGTAGTTCCACTAGCAGTCTGAATGAAAAACGTTTGTTTTTCCCAATTTTGTGACTAGTATATTCAACTGTTTTGATGACAAGTATGATGATTGCCTGAGTAGTTCCACTAGCAGTCTGACAGACGGTTTGTGAAGCAGTATATCTTACCATGATTTGTCTGAGTAGGTTCCACTAGCAGTCTGACAACGGTTTGTGAAGCGGTCGATCTCGTTCAGACTAAGAACATCTCCTCGAGGGACAGTTATCTCGGTGATGTACGCCACTATCACGATATAAAAACAAATAGAGATCTACATGTCCTTGTTTAGTCAAACAACACTGAGAAAGTATATTTAGGTAATAAGGTTGGAAAAATGCAAAATATGTTTCATTTTCATGATTAATGACAAAAATTTTCTTTTGATCTACTAAACACTGTTGTTAAATCATATGTCCATTTACTGAATTGTATGACTGAGTATAAAAGGACACTAACCATGATTTGTTAGTAGTTCCACTAGCAGTCTGACAGATGGTTTGTGAAGCAGTATATCTTATTTTATGATTTGTTGAGTAGTTCCACTAGCAGTCTGACAATGGTTTGTGAATTAGTATATCTTACCATGATTTGTCTGAGTAGTTCCACTAGCAGTCTGACGGATGGTTTGTGAAGCAGTATATCTTACCATGATTTGTCTGAGAAGTTCCACTAGCAGTCTGACAGATGGTTTGTGAAGCAGTATATCTTACCATGATTTGTCTGAAAACAGTTCTTACTAGTAGTCTACGGATGGTTTGATGTATGCACTATATTTACCTGGTGACCTGAGTAACCAATTAAGTGTCTGACAGCATTGGTTTGTGTACAGTTATCTTACAAACATTTGTCTGAACAGATTCCACTAGTCAGTACTGAAATGGTTTGTGAAGCGTTCTTACCAATGATTTGACTGAGTAGTTCCACTAGCAGTCTGACGGTAAATCATGTTTACACTGTAAATAGGACCATGATTTGCCTGGTAGTTCCACTAGCAGTCTGACAAATGGTTTGTGACAGTATATCTTACCATATTTGCCTAAGCTCCACTAGCAGTCTGACATATTAATTGTGATAAACAGTATTTGAAATCTTACCATGATTTGTCTGAGTAGTTCCACTAGCAGTCTGACCTAATGGTTTGTGTCAGCAGTATATCTTACCATGATTTGTCTGAGTAGTTCCACTAGCAGTCTGACGGATTTGTGAAGCGGTCGATCTCGCTCAACATCGGGCATCTCTTCGAGACTCTGAGATATCTCGGTGATGTATGCCACTATCACGGCGCGCTGGTAACCCGCTACCTCCTGTGTCAAAAGAGCACTTCAATACAGTTACAACAAACATCAGGTTGTCTGATCGATTTACATTAACCAAGAAGTCTCTACAAGACTGTAGCTCTACTGGTTATACTGAGAGTATAGAGTACTTGTGTATCATGACATTACACTGAAATAGGACCTAAACTATAGGAGGAGTAGGGTTCTAAAAAAATGTTTGCAGACAGACATCTTACAATTGCATAAGCTCTTGTAGTCTTTGAATTTCAATTCGTTATAAACATAATTTGAAATGTACAATGACTTGATAATAAGTTTGAAAGTACGAATGAAAATTACTTCACTGTAACCTTGTAATTCTATACAGTAATACTTCTGTATTAAACAGTTCAGTATTACACATACAAAGAGGACATAAGACAAACCTGTAGGAAGGAGAAGATTTGGTCGGTGATTGCTGACGACAGTTTGGTGTCTGTATACTGGTTGATCTGTTTGGTCAGAAAGCTCGCGGCCAAGTCTGCCAGCTAGAAAATTAAACAAGTTAGAAACATCATCACAAAACTCGCGGCCAGGTCTGCCAGCTAGAAAATCAAACAGTTAGAAACATCATCACAAAACATAATCTGTTATTCTGATAAATTGATGCCAGCTAGAAAATCAAACAAGTTAGAAACATCATCAAAACTGGGCCAGGTAAATAGTAAATCAAATCAATGTTAGAAATTTGTCCTTATAAAAGCTTCCAGGTCTGCCAGCTAGAAATCAAACAGTTAGAAACATCATCACAAAACTCAGGGGATAGGTCTATACATTACAAATCAAACAGTTAACACATGTTGATTACAAAATCTTGATCAGAATCTTCAGGTCTAAAATTATAAAAATCTAAACATCTGCTGATTTGATGTTGATCAGAAGTTCAGGGTCTATAATTCTAATACTCTAACCTTGTCTGTTGATTTGATGTTGATCAGAAGTTCAGGGTCTATGATTCTAATACTCTCACCTTGTCTGTTGATTTGATGTTGATCAGAAGTTCAGGGTCTATAATTCTAATACTCTCACCTTGTCTGTTGATTTGATGTTGATCAGAAGTTCAGGGTCTATAATTCTAATACTCTAACCTTGTGTGTTGATTTGATGTTGATCAGAAGTTCAGGGTCTATGATTCTAATACTCTAACCTTGTCTGTTGATTTGATGTTGATCAGAAGTTCAGGGTCTATAATTCTAATATTCTCACGTTGTGTGTTGATTTGATGTTGATCAGAAGTTCAGGGTCTATAATTCTAATACTCTCACCTTGTCTGTTGATTTGATGTTGATCAGAAGTTCAGGGTCTATGATTCTAATACTCTAACCTTGTCTGTTGATTTGATGTTGATCAGAAGTTCAGGGTCTGTAATTCTAATACTCTCACCTTCTCTGTTGATTTGATGTTGATCAGAAGTTCAGGGGTCTGTAACTCTAATACTTAAAGCTTGTCTGTTGATTTGATGTTGATCAGAAGTTCAGGATCTATGATTCTAATACTCTCACCTTGTCTGTTGATTTGATGTTGATCACAAGTTCAGGGTCTATAATTCTAATACTCTCACCTTGTGTGTTGATTTGATGTCGATCAGAAGTTCAGGGTCTATAATTCTAATACTCTAACCTTGTGTGTTGATTTGATGTTGATCAGAAGTTCAGGGTCTATGATTCTAATACTCTTTATACCTTGTATGTTGATTTGATATTGATCAGAAGTTCAGGGTCTATAATTCTAATACTCTAACCTTGTCTGTTGATTTGATGTTGATCAGAAGTTCAGGGTCTTTAATTCTAATACTCTGACCTTGTCTGTTGATTTGATGTTGATCAGAAGTTCAGGGTCTATGATTCTAATACTCTAACCTTGTCTGTTGATTTGATGTTGATCAGAAGTTCAGGGTCTATGAACGGCACTGGTGTCTTTTCCTTCTCTTTTTCTCCTTCCTTCAGAAAAACAAGAGAAAATCCAAAGTTTGCTTGAATTATTGTTGAAATACTTTACAATGCTTCTAAATCAGAATTTTTTTTTTCGGACTTTTGATGCTTTACACAATTATAATACCTGTTTATGTATGCTTTTAGCTATGACATAAAATATGTTGAGAGGGAGAAAAATATCCATAACACTGTTGTGTAAATTGAAAAGGAATACTGAAAATAATTACCAGTAATTTTTCTGCTATTTCCATGATAAATAATTCAACAGCCCAGGAAAGAAAATATGGTATATTAATCTCCAGTATTTATATATACTATGTCTAGTATCTTCATGCAGGTTATTCTGTTTTATGTACGGTATATTAATCTCCAGTATTTATATACTATGTCTAGTATCTTCATGCAGGTTATTCTGTTTTATGTACGGTATATTAATCTCCAGTATTTATATATACTATGTCTAGTATCTTCATGCAGGTTATTCTGTGTTTTATGTAGTCCTCAAGTTGCTAAGGAGTCAAATCGGCAACACTCCCACATCTTTACATAATTAAACTATTTATACCTAGTTTCCTAATACATTAAGTATCACCGTGTACATCATTTGCTTACAATTTCATCCGGGTCATTCCTGTCCATTGCTAAGAAAGTTTAATTAAAATTTTTGCATTTTTCTCTGTGTCTTGCGCACTGCATGCAAACACAATTTTAAAGCACATTATTCTGAGAAATTAGTTTTCCTATTTGAGGGGATTTGTTGAAAACACAGCCACCCCATGCTCTAATTACATGACATATAAATACACCGTTTTTGATTTGCGCCATAGATTCAGCAATCGTTAGCTACATGGTAAACATGTAATGAATGCCGACACGATTTTAAATGAACTACAATGTAGAGATAAGCATGACAAGAACAGACCTTATCTACTAACGGTGGGTTTTCATACAATGTACATGCATATCTTGACCTACTAATTAACTCCTATTATTAGAACTGCACGTAACTCAGTGCACGTACTACACTTAAATAGTTGAAAAAGAGTCAGGGATTTCCAGTTGCTTATTTTTAGAACAAGAGGCCCATGGGCCACATAGCTCACCTGAGAAGCTTTGGCCATTCTGTTCTTTACCAGATTTCCCCCTTGTAATACATATTGTGACCCCACCCTACCCCACTGATCTTAATTTAAACAATTTGAAATCTACACTACCCCAGTATGCTTCCATATAAGTTTCAGCTTTGATTTTCAGATTTTTTCTACATATTTCTATGTAAAACATTGAACCCACATTGTGGCCCCGCTCAACCCCCGGGGGTCATGATTTGAACAATTTTGAATCTACACTACCCCAGGATGCTTCCACATAAGTTTCAGCTTTTCTGGCCCAGTGGTTCTTGAGAAGAAGATTTTAAAAGATTTTTCCTATATATTTCTATGTAAAACATTGATTCCCCATTGTGGCCCCGCCCAACCCCCGGGGGTCATGATTTGAACAATTTAAAATCTACACTACCCCAGGATGCTTTCACATAAGTTTCAGCTTTACTGGCCCAGTGGTTCTTGAGAAGAAGATTTTCAAAGATTTTTCCTTTATATTTCTATGTAAAAATTTGATTCCCCATTGTGGCCCCGCCCTACCCCTGGGGGTCATGATTTGAACAATTTAGAATCTACACTACCCCAGGATGCTTCCACATAAGTTTCAGCTTTTCTGGCCCAGGGTTCTTGAGAAGAAGATTTTCAAAGATTTTTCCTTTATATTACTATGTAAATCTTTGATTTCACATTGTGGCCCCGCCCTACCCCTGGGGGTCATGATTTGAACAATTTATAATCTACACTACCCTAGAATGCTTCCACATAAGTTTCAGCTTTTTTGACCCAGTGGTTCTTGAGAAGAAGATTTTCAAAGATTTTTCCTATATATTTCTATGTAAAACATTGATTCCACATTGTGGCCCCGCCCAGCCCCCGGGGGTCATGATTTGAACAATTTAGAATCTACACTACCCCAGGATGCTTTCACATAAGTTTCAGCTTTACTGGCCCAGTGGTTCTTGAGAAGAAGATTTTCAAAGATTTTTCCTATATATTTCTATGTAAAACTTTGATTCCCCATTGTGGCCCCTCCCTTCCCCCAGGGGTCATGATTTGAACAATTTAGAATCTACACTACCCTAGGATGATTTCACATAAGTTTCAGCTTTACTGGCCCAGTGGTTCTTGAGAAGAAGATTTTGAAAGATTTTTCCTTTATATTTCTATGTAAAACTTTGATTCCCCATTGTGGCCCCGCCCTATCCCCGGGGGTCATGATTTGAACAATTTAGAATCTACACTACCCCAGGATGCTCACACATAAGTTTCAGCTTTACTGGCCCAGTGGTTCTTGAGAAGAAGATTTTTTAATGACCCAACCCTATTTTTGTCTTTTCTTAATTATCTCCCCTTGCGAGGGGATATGTCCCTTCATTTTAACAATTTAAATTCCCCTTCACCCAAGGATGCTTTGTACCAAGTTTGGTCGAAATTGGCCCAGTGGTTCTTGAGAAGAAGTCGAAAATGTGAAAAGTTTACAGACGGACGGACGGACGGACAGACGGACAGCTGGACAGACGGACGGACAGATGGACGACGGACAAAATGTGATCAGAAAAGCTCACTTGAGCCTTCGGCTCAGGTGAGCTAAAAACCAGAGGAGTTATCCAACTTGCTTAGTGGCACTGGATCGCGAACGGAAGTAGATTTACTCTGACAGAAAGCGCTTTGCAATTAAAACATCACTTCTCCCAAAACAGAGACATTTAACTTATCAAGCCTCTCTGTCTGGTTCAATGTCATACAATGGAATTTCGCAATGAAAAATTTTGTCCATGTCCATGTATCCATGCAGAGCTGAGGTAAGTTTGATCCTAAGATGGGTCTTGTTCTTACTATACATAGCTTGTCGAGCCTGTTGATTTAATAATTTATTAAATACCCTATATGTGGCATTTTTGACATAAGATAGATTGGGTCAAGATCCATGTTAAATGATAATTCACAATTATATAGACATTATATGTTAGATTATCATTTGGTTGAAGCTCACTGTATAACTTACCAGTATTATCTCTCCTTCTCTCTTTGGTTTAGGTGGGGGTGAGGACTTGACAGTGATCCCTGGGGTAGGGGGTAACTTTCTGCTTGGGACACCTCCCTGGTAAATCCTAAGGGTCCTGTCTGCTATCTCTATAGGGACACCTAAAAATAACCTTCTCTTTTACAACATTCATATCACTGAGCTCATACAAGCTACAGTTTGATGTAAAATAATTTGATAAGAAATGAGGTTGATTTCCCCCTGTGAGGTCCTCGCTATTTTAAGTACAGTCTACTCTTCACTTATGAGATCAGTTCCCTCTATGAGGTCCCCAAACTGTTAATCATACAGTCTACTCACCACTTATGAGGTTAATTCCCCCATGAGACCCCAATGTTAATCATACCGTCTACTCACCACTTATGAGGTTGATTTCCCCCGTGAGGTCCTCGCTATTTATAGTACAGCTGAGGTCAAGGTTGGTTGGGGCCAGTACCATGCCCCCATTCTCAGTGAGGGTGAGCTGTACCAGGGAGACACATATCCCATCAGCACTGCTGTTATCAGTGGGAACCGCCCGGATGTTACCGTCTACACCAAGACCTGTGAATTAAACAAAGATGGTTTCTTAATTTTACAAATTAACAGCTTTGTATTATTTCCCTGGTTTTATTGTGAGGCCCCATTGAGTAAGCCAAGGGTAAATCTGACACTAGAAATATAAGACTGTGCAGGGTAAAACCTAACATGATAAAAATGCAGATAGTGATTGTTCCTTCATCAAGTGCTTTCACTGCATCACAACCTTCACTGATTAACAGTAGACACTGGAAGGATAATAATTACATGCATAAAGATCCCTTATGCACTGGCGGATTTAGAGGGGGGCCAGTTTTGTGTCCAAAAAATACACAAAATTGGATAAATCAGTGGTTTTTTGGTGTGGTTGAGGACCCCTACCCTGACCCAAAACTGGTCGTACACCCCCTTTTCAAGATTTCTGGATCCACCACTGCTACTGCTTCAGTTTTATTTCCCATTGGTCAAATTTACAGCATTTCACTCAAGGGGGCCGACTATAGTTTTATTGTGTGAAAACTACAATAGCGAAACTCTTCATGTTCATACCATATATAACTTACATTAACTTCAGTGTACATGCAAAGTTTGGGGGAAATCTACCGTCCAGGTATTTTTGAGGGACCGTCTCAAAATACGGGTACATTTACTATAGGATTATATAGGAAAATGCCAATTTTTAGCACTTTAAAGCAAATTATACAAATACTACAATAGACATTTTGTTCAAACTATAATATTTGATGAGTAATAATATAATATACAATATATGTAAGAAACACAAAATTCTACCGTCTTGTTACCAGAGGGGGCATCTCAAAATGCAAAACCAGAAGTCTCTGTCGAGACTGTAGCTCTACTGGTTTGTACTTATCAAAAACCATTGCACTATTTTATGTATCTTTGTGTAGTCTACTTGTGTGCCAACTTATTTTGAAATCAAACTAGAACTGTAGAAGGAGTAGCGTTTTTAAGGAATTTCACAGAAAATTCTATTTTTAGTAACCATGGTAATACCTTTAATCGAAATCAGAAACCGATGCACTATTCTATGTATCTTAGTGTAGTCTACTTGTGTGCCAAGTTATATTGAAATCAGACCAAAACTGTAGAAGGAGTAGCGTTTTTAAAGAATTTCACAGAAAATTCTATTTTTAGTAACCATGGCAACTACGTTCATCGAAATTAAAAACCAATGCACTATTCTATGTATCTTAGTGTAGTCTACTTGTGTGCCAAGTTATATTGAAATCAGACCAAAACTGTAGAAGGAGTAGCGTTTTTAAGGAATTTCACAGAAAATTCTATTTATAGTAACCATGGCAACACCATTCATCGAAATTAAAAACCGATGCACTATTTTATGTATCTTAGTGTAGTCTACTTGTGTGCCAAGTTATATTGAAATCAGACCAAAACTGTAGAAGGAGTAGCGTTTTTAAGGAATTTCACAGAAAATTCTATTTTTAGTAACCATGGCAACACCGTTCATCGAAATCAAAAACCGATGCACTATTCTATGTATCTTAGTGTAGTCTACTTGTGTGCCAAGTTATATTGAAATCAGACCAAAACTGTAGAAGGAGTAGCGTTTTTAAGGAATTTCACAGAAAATTCTTTTTTTAGTAACCATGGCAACACCATTCATCGAAATCAAAAACCGATGCACTATTCTATGTATCTTAGTGTAGTCTACTTGTGTGCCAAGTTATATTGAAATCAGACCAAAACTGTAGAAGGAGTAGCGTTTTTAAGGAATTTCACAGAAAATTCTATTTTTAGTAACCATGGCAACATCGTTCATCAAAATTAAAAACCGATGCACTATTCTATGTATCTTAGTGTAGTCTACTTGTGTGCCAAGTTATATTGAAATCAGACCAAAACTGTAGAAGGAGTAGCGTTTTTAAGGAATTTCACAGAAAATTCTATTTTTAGTAACCATGGCAACATCGTTCATCAAAATTAAAAACCGATGCACTATTCTATGTATCTTAGTGTAGTCTACTTGTGTGCCAAGTTATATTGAAATCAGACCAAAACTGTAGAAGGAGTAGCGTTTTTAAGGAATTTCACAGAAAATTCTATTTTTAGTAACCATGGCAACATCGTTCATCAAAATTAAAAACCGATGCACTATTCTATGTATCTTAGTGTAGTCTACTTGTGTGCCAAGTTATATTGAAATCAGACCAAAACTGTAGAAGGAGTAGCGTTTTTAAGGAATTTCACAGAAAATTCTATTTTTAGTAACCATGGCAACACCGTTCATCGAAATCAAAAACCGATGCACTATTCTATGTATGTTAATGTAGTCTACTTGTGTGCCAAGTAATATTGAAATCAGACTAAAATTGTAGGAGGAGTAGCGTTTTGAAAAATTGTTTACAGACAGACGGACAGACAGACGGACAGACAGACAGCTAGACAGACAGACGGACGGACGCCGGACGCATTACTATCGCATAAGCTCTTCTGGTCTCTGACCAGTAGAGCTAAAAATAGCAAATTTTACTATTTTTATAGAGTATTACAAAATATGACGTACACAATGGATTCACATGAAAACATAATAAAAATATTGGAAACATTCTCAAATTTCTATGTTTTAAATTTCAAGAGCTTATGTTTATTACTTTTTCTTTAATAATATTTTTATTACCCCTTTCTTTAAGAGCTACAGATTATCATAACGTCAGAAACACACTTCAACGACGTCAACCTACCTATCCATTGCAAAATCGGTTAAAAAATCAGTTATATCAAATTGTAATTACATTTTTATACCTATAATTTCTTAATTTTGTTTAATTTTAATAATTAAGTGAAAAAAGTTGTATTAAAACAGTAAATACGCTTCATTTTACTATGATGCGCGAAATATTGCGCAATGGAAACTATAGTCGGCCCCCTTAAATAATCCGGTGTGAAGTCTCCAGATAAGTCCAAAATTCCTGAATGGAAAACAACACCCAATCAATTAGCTGTAACAACTAATGTAGATCACTTAATTTTTGCGACACCTTATTTTAGCGAGACATCATTTACTCTTGAGTAGCGATATAAAATTTTCACAAATTGTGTTTACTGCTCTATATAATCTTAAAGCCATATATGGCGTAACTGATCAAAATAATATATTTTTGAAAAATACAAAATTAAGACAACACACTGGGAAACAGATAATACATTTGATTTCAAGTTTTCAACGTTTGACGAAGACACCTCAAATTTCATCTAAAAAATAAATCTTCAAAACGTAATGTGTTATTTAAATCTTTTGTATATCAATCATGAAAGAAAATTGGGATATCTAAATTAAAATGTGATATCTTTTTAACGCAATTGACTTAGATTTTGTAATTTACCAAAGTTAAATCTTTATATAAAGTAATGATACAAATAATAAGTTCTTATAATGTTTATTGTAATAATATTATTGTACATAAACAATATATGGCTATTTTTTATCAAAGCGAGCGTTTTCTTTTCGCTGAAAATTTTATTTTACATTACCGAAAAATAAAGTCCTCATGAATTAATTTAAAACGTGATTATAGTACTACGTTTAGTATTTTGATTAATTACTGTATAAAGGGTTATTTTCTCCCTTTTGAACCTGTGAACATTTTTTCCCCGTTTTAAATTCACCCAGTCATAGTTCTGTTTAAAAAATTATAAGGTGTAATTTGAATTCGCCCCGTTTTAGAGGGCCAAAGGGGTGAAAATCAAACGGTGGTGAATATTTCCCTGTATATAGTATTTAAGCAGTCAGGGGCATAACTTAAACAAGTTATTTTCAAAAATAACTCATTACAAATGAGTTATTTTTTTGTCTTAATGAGTTACTTCTCTTTGCTATGACCTACTTTTTCCCAACCTCAATAACTCAAACACGTTATTTTTCCAAAATAGCTTCAATAAATAAATAACTTATTTAAGTTATTTTGTGTCATTCCTCCCTAACTTCACACCCCGTGCACTAAAGGATTTTGCTCGTGCACCAAGACAAAAACAAATGTTTGACTAAATATAAACCTTGCTCAATGCAGGAAAAGTGTTCAAAGTCTTGGGAAAAGTGGGGAATTTTTTTTATTTAATGATTAAAATTGGACATATACAGCATGTGGATAAAACCACAAAATAAGGAGTAAAATGCTGTTCATCTCCACCTCCTCACCAATTCTCCATTGGAGTCAGTGAACTTCATCTAGTATTACATAATGGAATCCCAAAATGCAATGCAAATTGGCAGGAAACACGAAATTTCCAAGAAATCAATGTCCAAGTAGGATAAAAAAATAAGTTATTTTTCAAAAAAAAATTGTGTGTGTGAAATAATGTAAAATAACTTATTTAAGTTATTTTTTTTATAACTTGTTTGAGTTATGCCCCTGACTGTTAAGGAATGAAACTTATGTTATACGACATAACATAAATAGGGGTAGCTAGTTTATGCTTTATAAAACGCTTTGCAGTTTATAAAAAAGCATGAACTGCCCCTAGTTATGTTATTATATCATATACATAACATAAGTTGAAATAAAATTAAGCTTCATTCCTTATAATTTAATTTCAGTGTAGACAATGAGACATTTTTTCCTCCAGAAAAGGCTTCAAATTGAGCATATTTTAAAAGTAATGTCTAGCAACGTAATAATTTTTTTGACGTAACTCATCATGACATAGGCAACTTATGTTATACAAAATAGATTAAATCTTTTTTCCAATCATATGACCTGTTACAACTAAAATTAAATTATTTGCTAAAATCAAAAACATTCTGTACAACAGTTACACTCAAGTATCTCATTCTCAAACAACAATAAATCAAATACCATGGATATATCAAAGTGAGATGGAAGTCTAAAACACTTCTTGCCCCCCGTAATTGAATATTCAGGGGTATATAGTTTTTGCCCTGTCCATCTGTCTGTTTGTCTACAAAAATTTTAACCTTGCTCACAACTTTTGAGTGAGTTAAGCTATATGGCTTTCATATTTCACAGGTGTATTCCTTGTGA